CTAGCGAATTATACGATAGTATTCAGGATACTTAGATTTTCCAAATACAGAAGAATAATTGTGGGCTCAAATTAATGATCTCATTAGACAAAGAATTTAATTAATAAAACATTTGATGCCGTCTTATTCCAAATTTTTAAAAACGTCACTTTATGTAGTGTAACATTCAGGGATTACCTTCAAATATATTTTGCTTTACAAAATATGATTTTCAAATATGTAAATGTATCTGTAACATTTTTTTAGAAATCCCTTAGCTTTTGTAATTTAGCTATTTTTTTTATGTTCAAAATTATCTTCCATATTATGAGACAATAAAATATATCTAGAAAATATCTTGGTACTAAATCAATACCTATAACTTGAACATTTTGTGCATAATTACTGGACTGAGATGCCTTATATGAATAAACATGTTAACTAGAAAATATATCCAGAGATTATTTAATTATTTAATATTTTAGCAATAGTTAAATTACATGTTTTTTTGAAAGAATTTGAAATTTAAATACAAATTAGATTATTTACATTCATTTTTAAATGATAAAACATGATGGTAAAATTATTAATTATATTTTAAAAATTACATATCACAATTTACTCATTTCAATAATGTTTACTTAGAAAAACATGTCAAACTACCCCAGGATGTACCTGATGCGAGAAGGCCTTTTTGAAAAACAAAAGGTATGAATTTTTTCAGTGCTAACAAACAAGGTAATATTTGACTTAATTGAAGATATGAATCAGTAATAAAGTATAAATAGCTGTATTACCATAGTTATTATTCCAAGCAAACAAATAAAAGAAGTGGCTAATAAACATATTTTAATACAAATATATTAGACTTGGTGTGAGGTATATATATTTTATATATATATATATATATATACATATATACAGTTGAACTTGCCTAAGTCAAATTCAAAAGTGCATTGAAAAACTGTTCGACTAAGATAAGATTCGACTTACGGATTCTTAATTAATGGAAAACCCAACAATTTCACATGTAAGGCCAAATAAAAAAAATTATTGTGTTGGCCACGCCCGACCGAATTAAATTTTACGAAAGTCAGGGTTGGCATTTTAGATGTTTTTTTTTTTTGACTACAAGGAACAATATTTTTTTTTTTAATGAGCTAATAAGGTTAGAATAGCCTTGGACTAGACTAGCTAGGGGGGCAAGGCCTAACCTATTTTGTTGCAAGGATGCGATACAAATTCAAAATTGTTGTATTACCTGTGTATTTGCTATTTTTTTAAGCGGAAACACATTTTTGGTTTAAGTAAAAATTTTCCTACAGATATTTTGGATTGGCCTACACAAAATTTTTTTTTTTTTTTTTTTTTGGGCCTAAAATAAAATCAACTTAGAAATTATTCGAGTTAGGCAATGTTGACTTAGGCAAGGTTAACTGTACTTCTAAATATTAACTGTATAAAGGTGATGAACAGACAGACAGTGGATGAATACAATGGCAAAGGTAAATATTCTGAGAATAACAAATTTCAGGTGAAGCTACAGCTAAATGTGATGTGTTCCATTCAATCAGAGGTGGCTCACACAATTGACGAAACCATCAACTTTCATTTCTTTTAGTGTTGCAATTTTTGCTAAAAAATATTATATTCTGGTTAAGATCATAAATCTAGGAATACCACAGACTCAAAGTATTAGTATTCCAGCTCTGATGGTGCTGGCGTCTTTGTAATCGCCATATCAACAGAGAATGATGAGTATACGGAGATAGTATCGTCCGGTTTTTGCTGCCGTAATCTGTTTTCAAACATAAATTCCCCTAGTTCATCCTCCTCCTCCTTATCAAAGTCTTCGTCTGGTTCCTCTCCAACAAATATCTGAACTTGGCTGTTAAATTCTGTTGTATCATCAACTGGTTTCTCATCTGAAGGCTGATCATTAAAGGCAGGTGTGATTTCATCCTTGTCTAAAGCGTTTTCATGGTCATTGTTCTGTTTAACTGTTTCAATAGCTCTACTATCTGCATCATTGTTCTCATTCAAAGCCTCCTTTTCAAGCTCTTTTGGAGATTTGTCTTTCTTAATTGATCTTCGTCGAGATTTTACCTGTTTTGTATTACCATCTTCCTTTGGATTTGCTTTTCCTTTAGAGTTTTTGATCGAATCTCTTCTAGGGCTATCTTTCTTTACAGTCCTACTTGGTTTCTTGCGGATTTCTCTTTTCTGTGATTCAACATTTTCTTCAGTATTATTTTTATATTCACTATGTTCTTTCTCTTTTGAATTACCTTCCTTCTTTTCCAATGAATTGTCCTCAGAATCTTGAGCCTCACTAAGATATTTCTTTGTAGTGTTTTGTTCCGTTTTATCTCTTTTCTTTGATCGCTCTCGCTTCTTCTTTTTTCTCTCCTTTTTCTTTTTTTCTTCATCTTTTTCTCTCTGATCTGGAGATTTCAGTTGCCTGACTTTTGTGTCATAGTACAATTGCTGATCAGTAGGTTGTCCAGAAGGAAATCTTTTTTCGTAAGCTATGAATGAATTAAAAAAAAAAACTTAAAACATAGTATTATTTCTCATTATTGCATCCAACAGTGTAAAACACCAATGACAGGATGGGAATTAAATATATAAGATAGGATATATTATAATTTAAAATATAAAATAATAATGTAAAATCAATATTGAAAAGAAACAATAAAGTGGCAAAGACAAGCCAAACCAGTCACTTGTCACAAATCCTGTTTCAGAGATAATGGCCTATGCTAGAATTTCAAAATTTTTGAAAATATTTGATTACAACTTAAACTAACCTTTCATATATCATGCTATGCTGTTATTTTCCCGATTTTTAAACTACAATTTTTAACGATTTACTGATGGTGTCTGCCTGAGAAATGCCCAAAACCATAAACTTTGGAGGTTGATTTCTCAAATATTGTTCTTTAAACAGCTGCATGTTTAAACACTTGTAACGTCATAACGAAATTTCGGATTAAAATGATTCTTTTACTGTGATGAATGATTCATTGTATTAAAAACTAAAAATTATAATACAAGAATACCATGCAGACAAAAACCCGCAATAAAATTAAATAAGGTAAATAATGGGGATATTATAGTGAATGAGTCAGCAATAGCACACTTAAATTGATTCAAACATGGAGGTATTATAATAAGATATAGCTATGTCAAAACCATACAAGTTAATGGAACCATTACCGCCAGAGTGAAAAAAGGGGCGTGGTACCTAAATTTCAAATGGTCATAACTTGAAACCACTCTCTTTTGACATATCAAGGTATTTTTAGAATTTTTTTTAAGGAAAATTCAAAGGGGGGGGGGTGTCACATGAGCACTTTTAAATTTCTGGTTGGTTTGAGCCAGAATGACCCAATTACAAAACCTTGAATATTTATTTGCTATTAACTCTAAGTTAAACATACCTGGCTTTGATGGAGTTTTTGATGTAGTTGGCCTTCCATACCCAGAGGAAGAAACAGCTGTTTGTGGCCGTCTGCAGTGCAGAAAATATAAATTATCAAATTATCATTATTATATTATTACATTTTCAATCATTGTTATTATATATTATCATTGTCATCATTATCACTGTTATGATCTGGTGATTAAATTAAATATGAAACATACAGATCTCCTGGCCCTATATTTAATCATTGAAATTTGTGAACTTTTTAATACTATACACAGGCCTACCATAGGCACACTACTCTGAACTTTCCAAAATTATATTGTATAAAAACTTGTAATTATTTCACCTTTGCGGAGGTTCTGACTGTACATCAGCATCATCTTCCTCTGATTCATAGTCGACTGTCTTGTCTCGCTTGTGATAATAGCGCCCTTTAGGGGTGATCCTTGGCGGATTACGCCATATTCTTGGGTCTACTTCAAACTGACGTTGGCGTTCTCCCAATAGGTACTTGATGTATCGTTCGCAATCCTTTGGATTGTGTAAACCTGAGGATGAAATTAAATTTAAAAAAAAACAAGAACAAGAACAACAGTGAGGCATGATGATGTCACAAATATTTGTAATGCTAAAGTGTGTAGATAAAGCTTCCGACTTGGCAATCAAATTAGAATTGATTTTGCATGGCCGATTTCATCGTGTATCTAACGAAGCAATTATAGTTTATTGTTGCCATTAGGACCTGCTTTATCTTGTCTCAATTATTAGTTAGAAATACAAGATATACAAATATTCTATTATCAATGTATTTAAAATAGGATTATTTAAACACAAAATGTATTTTCATCATCATTATCATTACAGTACCTCCTCTAATATAAAAATTAGGTTAATTCTTGTAATTGAAGAAATCATGTTGTATTAATATGCCAGGTCAGTTTCAATTTAGCGAAGATATGCATAATAAATAATAAAATAGGTAAATATTGCACAAGTTTAATATAATATTCCTACAAAAATCACATCATTAATCACAATATATAACAAAGGTTAACAAAAATTAACCACAAGATTACCAAACAAGACGAAAAGCCTAATATTGATACGCACTGATAATAGGTAACAATGGCAGGCCTTTATCCAAGGGTGTGATGGGTACATACTGTAGGCCTACCCAACCAACCTACAGTGGCAATCCGGGATTTGGCCCTGAGTAGCTACATGCGACATAAAATATACTTGTTAATAAGCAATTAGTTATTTATTAGTTCTTGCTGAAGTAAAATCCCAAATCTGGTCTATGGATTGCCTAAGGTTACTCAGTGGAATGGCTATGACAATATTAAAATAGTTAAAATGGTAAAAAAAAACATACAGGTATAACAACATTGTATTAACCAATAAATAGATACATAACATATTATTTCACCTTGTCAAAAAATTACAAAATATGCTTGTTATAACAATTGTTTGGATATTTATGTTATTTCTCAAGAGCGATTATTATTACCAATTTTTATGAGGGATTTGCTCAGAGCGTTGATCCAACATACACAGTACGTTCACAATGAATATTTTGACAAGATAATAGATATGTAAATTTGTCACGTGCTACACTCAATAACATGCCTTTCATATGGCCACAGCGGTGCTTTTTTTGCCTCTTTCTTCCTGACTTTGGTGGCTTAGGTCGCTTAGTAGATCCATTCACAGGTCGTAAGACTTGCGTGTATAAATAGATTAAATTACTGTTTTAGGTGTGTTCAAATTAGTTTAGATATATAATGTAAAGTCACATGTAGTTTCATTGTTTATTATCAAACAAAATTATCAATCTCATCATTGTCACCATTATCATCATCATTGCTTCCTTCTCCTCTTTTTTCATCATCTTTTTTGTTGCCATGTGGCAAAGACAAACCAAACCAGTCACTCGTTGAAAAAATTGATTTTTAGTTGTTAATACAGTATTAAAACAGTAAAATGAGAGCTATAAAATGGTAAAAAATCATTTAGATCTGACATCATTATAAAGTTACAAGTGTTTAAACATACAGCTGTTTATAAGAACAAAATTTGAGAAGTCAGCCTTCAAAGTTGATGATTTTGGGCATTTCTCATGCAGAAACACTCACCAAATCGTTAAAAATTGTTTTAAAACTGAAAATAGGGAAAAACAACAGCATAGTATATGATGTATAGATTTATCAAGGTTAGTTGAGTGCAATAAAATAGATTTCAAAAATGTTGACATTCCAGCATGTTTTAGCCATATTATCTCTGAAACAGGATTTGCGACGAGTGACTGGTTTGGCTTGTCTTTGCCACATATCCCTCAGCGACATACTGTATTTACCATTTGCCATCCATATGCAATTTCAATTTCTATGCAGATTTTGTCACATATTCTTGGTCAATCTATAATTTCTTCAGAAACTGTTCAAGAATTATGCATGGGGATATAACTTACAAGGTATTTTTTAGAAAAAAAAAATGGAAATTGTTTATAAGCCTAAAACATACCTATGTCTAGCTGGTGTTGAATCATATTTTCATATCGCTTTTGTTGCAGTTCTTTCAGATTTGTCAGGCTATACACTGATGCAGTATGCCATAGGTAGGTCTTCTGCCCTGTGCTTAGGCTAGGATGTTGCAATAGATGACTGTTGCTGAAGGCATCTGGTATACTGACCACACGCTTGAGAGGGGGCCTGAAAGCAGAGAAGGGCCTGAGGTACTCGACGTAACCTGGGTGCTCTGGGGTATATTGACTTGAGATGTGACATGACTTGGGTCTACTGTTACTCTTGGACTTAGCACTGCCTGAAAAATAGGAAATATCTGTAGACTATTATCAAACCTTTACATGCAGTATATTTATCATGCTTTTAAAGAATAAAAAAAATATATTAGTACATTTGGTTCTATAAGAAAGAAGAAGAAAATTATATAAAGGTGACTTAAAATCTCCCAGTTCATTTAATATGAATAAAGAATTAATAAATAAAATGGGAAGAATAGAAAATTTGATTTCCTTACCAATTTTGCTTTTGGGCCTTTGTCTTCTTGCGCTAACACTAGTTGTTGGCCTTTCTTTTCTCCATGGTATCGTCTGATCAACTCGTTTCGCAGGCTATAAAAAGTAATTAAACAATAATTAATATTCATGTTATATAGTGTATGATACTGTCTTTCCTGTTTAATTTGCACTGATACTTTCTTCAAAATTCACTTTAAAGAGTGGTATTATTACTATTGTTAATATAAATTCAGAATTTTTTTTATAATTTTGTTGCAAAGTAAAGAACTAATTTTTTTAAAGTACAGGATCACAGATAGCATATTGTTTGACTCATAGTACACTTCTAACCTGGTCTGGATCTCTGGAAGGACTGAAGTCATCCTCCGAGCTGTCTGGACCATCATCTTGATGTACGGATCCAGTTCCAGAATCCACGGAACTCAAACTGCCCGCACTCATATCCACTTTGTTTACTTCCTTAGCATGTTGACTTCGATAACGTGCACTAAAAAATATTGCGAAAATAGTGTTGAATGAGTTATTAACACATACAATTTTGCACTATTTATGGTTAATTATAAATATCCTGCTTGTTGGATAATCTACAATGTTAATCGATGAAATCGTTTCATTAAATTAATTATTGTACAAAAAAATAGTAAATAATAATTTACTAATAAAGTAAATAATTTGTTTAATTTAAAAATACATGAACCACATCATCAACAATTTATGCATAAAAAACCAATTATCTTTGTATTTTTCACCTTTTCGCTCGCTGATGAGGCTTAGCACTCCGAGCCCGTAATACCTTTGTATCGTTCTCCTCTACCTGTGTGGCCTCTACCTGGTTGGCGTCTATGTCAGCCATAACGATCACTCTTGGAGTCTCAACACATAGATTGAATCGTTAAAAACATTCCACCTTCACGATTGCAGACAGAGTGATATTTGAACTCCTGTTTGATATATTTATACTTTGCGCTTTTTGCTTTTTTATCACGTTCTTCTTATGTCAAAAGAACTGATAAATTAACCAAATAGAAACGTTCATCAAATGAACAAAAATAGAACCAGATGTTCCAAAAGTAATATTCACTATGTTCTCCTACGCTCTTCTCATATAATTGTATACATACTTTATCCAAACACAATGTCCAAATTCAATATCCCATATCAGCATTTGCAGTCTCGTCATAAAATCTTGAATTCAAATCCATTTTCCAATACATATATTATTATTAACTCCAAATTCAGTTAAAAACATGAATTCAAGTTTTTTTTTTACAATCTTGAAATACTTCTACAGAAATAAAAAAATACTTCTAGAGTAATGATACCCTCAAATGACATACATCGTTTCAAAAGATCCGCTTATTACAAATCTATTTCAGGCAACTGTACCTCAAAAACCATGAAAAATTAATCAATATATAAAGACACAAGGTGATGCTGTAAGTGTCATTGAGCAGTGTATATCCATTAAATCCTTCAATTATATCCACCAGGTAATTGAATCATTGGAAACGTGATCGGTACTTCGCTTGTTTCTATATTGACGAACTTCACATCCACAAGTTGTGTCTCGCACATCATTTCCAGATCTCAACGATCACTACATTGTTACTAATGGAGAGGCAATTCTCTATTGTATATACTAAGCCTATTATTAGGTAATTTTCCTTACCAGTATCACTATGGTAACCCTATGTTTTGTCATGAAATCAAGTTGAAGAAATTGATGGTTACGTAGACAGTGAAGGACAGGCTTATTACCCAATTGATTTTCTTATTTTCATTCCTTTATGATCGGCTGATTCTGCGACTATGACGATAAGATATGTTAATTAATTTAACTTTTATATTTCTATTGATCTTATTGAGCAGGTTTAATTAAGTGTAGAGTGTATGGGTATTTCAATTATTAATAGCCGACTAGAGATAACTATGTTTTATTCACGTATAAATTCTAATCCAGTCAAGAAATCAAAGAAGCAGGGCTACCAAAAGTAAATTTTAAGAACTTATAATTGTCAATAATATTTACTTAAGAAAAACTAATTACAGAAGTATGTTGATGCATTTTTTTATTTTAGCATTTTCCCTTGTCCAGAGCAGGGCTAATTATGCTCATGCATCTATGACTTATTCATGTCTTGTATAGGGCTTATTTCAACAATATTTTGTGAGGGTGGTCCATCCAGCCGGAGCTGATCATCAGGGACCCTCAATATTTATACAAGAGGAAATGAAATACCGTAAAACCTCGAATAGAAACCCAACGAGGAAGCCCATCTCGAATAAGCCCCCTCTATAGTTTGCAATAAGTAGCTTCGAAAAGAAGCCCATGGGCTTCTTTTCACTATATATCATGGGCCTTTTTTCAGATAGTACACTAAAATACATACACTATACATGAATTTCAAAGAAACAAAATAAATTAAAAACATGCTTGGTTTATACAGTAATTTAAGTGCTTTAATGCTAGTTAATACACTGCATGATACAGATTGAAATTATAGTGTCCCTATTTATTGTTTTATCATAGTAAAGTAATTCCAAAAATTTACAGCATTCACTTTGAAAAGACGCTCTCCTCTTTACTTCACAATAGTAGCCTCAAAAAGAAGCCTATCTCGAAAAGAAGCCCATCTCGAAAAGAAGCCCATCCAAAGTTCGCAAAAAAAAAAAGAAGCCCAGGGCGTCAATTTTTTTACGGTAGATTAAATAAATAATGTAAAGAACTAGCAAAAGAAAATACAAAAAATAAGAAAGGATTACAAATGAAAAATGTCAATTAAATAAATGAATAAACAAAGAAATAATTCTTTACAAAATATTGGTATATATATATATATATATATATATATATCTGTCTCAGAAATCGATTTTTTATACTCACTTGGCTATTTCTTTGTGATAATTATTGTACTACACTCCCCATAACAGAAAATATTATATTAAAACATTTAACACACAAATTTATAGAAGTACATCATTAGTTATTTTCATACAATTTATTTTCCGAAAATAATGTGTTGAGTTGGTATCAATATATTTTACTAGTTGAGAAGCTCATTTTGCTAGTTACATTTTTAACAACTAGCACATTTTAGCAATAGGCTGCTAGTGGCTGAAAAAGTAAATTTCTAGCCCTGATATGATAAGTAAAAAAAACAGTTTAAAAATAAAAAGACAACAAACAGAAAAAAAAAGCTTTCAGCCAGTCTGAAGAGAGACAAAAGAAAGGAACTAAACCAAGGAAAAATAGAGATAGCTTTTGATGAGAAGCTTGTAGCATTTCTGATATTTAAAGAAAATCAGTTGAAAAATGAAGGGGGCGTTTAATAGTGTTTTCATAGCAGATACACAACATCCAATGAAGTCAGATGTTTTTATTTCTATTTTTGCTTCTTCTGTCTAATCAAATACTGCAGGTTAAGAGACCTATGCTGAATAATTAGCTGCTAAAAGAAATATTGGACAGGAAAGTAATCATAAATCATACTGCCAACAAACATAAACAAATATTTAAATACTAAACATTCGTTGTTTGGGAGGAAATCCATAATTATTCATACTTGACAGCTGATATTTCTCTAAGGAAAATCTCTATGTATTTTTTAAAAGTGTCATTAACGTGATGTTAAAGGTGTTTAAGAAGCTTAAATTAGAAGACCTAAAACATGAACAAAATTATACATAAATGTAACTAACTGTAGATAGTGTAATAGAGTTCTGGTCTCTTACAATATGCTACTTGAAGGTTTAAGTTTCATTTTTAAAAAAGTAATCAAATATGTTAGGAAAAATTTGTGGCTGATAATTATGATGATCGTGATGGTTGCACATTTGTCATAGAGTTGCCTTGGATACTAAAGAAAATGAATAGTACTCAATATTTTTTCTTTGCTGTAAATCGAAGGCTGCATAGAATTATTTGAACTGACTGCCCTTGGCAAACAGTAGCTCCATGAACAATGGATTTCTGCAGAGGCTAAGGCTAGTTTGAAGGTACATAATAAACATTTGCTGAATAGACTTTTAGATTATATTATTTATCCAACTTTTTTGCCAAACATAGTATAAAAAAATGAGCAGAAAAATGAAGTAAATAAGTTGTATTATCTGATAAAGACTAAAAGGTGTCACTGTCCAGAGAGGTGGTACACAGTCACAGGGCCTGGGTTAAGAAAGTGTTAGTGGCCCCATGTGATTTTAGATCAATTACGAGGGGCCTGGGCTTCACTGTAGAAAATCAAAGAATACCATACCGTGTGTTATAGTACCATAATTTATTTTGAATTCTCTGTGAATTCTAGTAGTCCTTTACATCATTATTTGAGTTTAATTTAGGACATATTGGGTCGGGAATGTATAAAAGGTGTTGTCATGTGAGTTCACTTAAGGATATTCGTCAGTTAAAAACGAGGTATTAAATTGTTTTTTGCTATTTATGGGTGCCTTCTATTCTACTGGACCATATGTCAAGGCTCTGTAATAGAAGAGTGCTATTAATTAGTAGGATGGTTCACTAGGGTCTGGGGATGCCCCCACCCTCGAGAGCCCATAGAGCTACATCTGTTATAACAAGATGTAAAAGGAAGAATCCAGAACTTAGTTAATCATATGATTTTCTATCTTTCTTTTAAAGACTCAAATGTGTGAGAAATTACAGCAAGTCATATCATAAGGCAACACTCTTCCATCACAATTTGTTGCCTAGACAACAAGTTCCGTAAACAAAACAGCTGATTTTCGTTGACAGAGGTTTAGTTATTTATTTTCTAAATAGTATTCTGAAAAATCACCAGTAAGTGCAAGGTAATTAATGTCTACTATAGCATTTATTATTAATTTAAAATAAGCTCAGATGTTATTTTATGTATACTACTCAGCATCTTGCTCAGTATATCAATTTTGTGCTTGTATTCCACATATTTTGCGCAATATAAATGAATAACCTTTAACCTTTAATGCTGCAATCAAAGATCATGAGCCAATACAATCATGGACAAAAGTAATATACTGTATTGCTAATTAAATTTCCATTTGTTGTATTCTTCATGAAATATATTGTTGCACTTCACACGGAAGAACATTTTTTTAACATTAATGATTTTAAAGAGAAATAACAAAGTTACAAATAACAGCTGCTTATGCCATGAGGACAAATAGTAATAGAAATAGATGTCCTTGAATTTCAAAGGATTTGAACACAGGATACTCGTCTTATAAATCACAGAATAATCTCAAAAAATGGAAAAAAGGAAACTGGCCTTCAATGGTCAAGTGTCAAATACAACATTTAACCACTTGATATAGGCCTACCCTTGATCTGCCCACCGAGATCCTCTGCGCCATAGCAACAACAAGACTCCATAAAATATTTGATAAAGCAAACAACTTCAATTATGTCAAGCAACCATGATAGGTTAACACTTAGTATAAGGTGTTGACTATTACAAGAGATCACATCTTCATCCTCCCATTTCTTTTGAAAATGTTGATTTTTTGAGTTTTCCATGCTATGATTGGCTGTGATGCAATGAGCATGCCCACGTACTGACTATAATTTCCTATCACATCATCAGCCCGACGGGGAGTCCTTGCCCCGAGAAAAAACACAATTCGTGGGGGGAGAAAAAAAAATTGATATGTATTTTGTACATATTTAATAGACTCGATTTAAATAAGCCTTTGAGACCCCTAAATTGTCATATGTTCAGGGGCTATGTCCCCTGGACCACTTTCGAAATGTTTTTAGCGATGCCCGAACACCACCCCCCTCCCCCTCGGGAGGGGGGGTACCTTGGACCCCAGTGGGGGAAGTCCTGGCGCCACCACTGCATGGTAGTAAGTTCTATCGTAACTTTTACTTCCCCCTACAAACTTTAAGTACAAGTTCTAAAACAATATTTTTGATGGACCTGATTTTGGAATCCATTACTTCATCCTTTTAGTAATTCTGTTAGATTCTCATTAAAATTAAATATACTGTAAAGGAATGTTCTAAACAGCACTATCATTTAAAATACTCTGTATACAGTAAACTATATCAAAACAAAGATTTTGTTTTAAATAAATGAATAAATAACAGAATGTTGATACCCGAGTTGCCATGAGGAATAATCTATTGTACAAATTATAAGAATAGTAACACCAAAGTGTTAAGTAGGCCTATGTCTATTTGCATTTATCTCGTGAGGTAATATTATGTGTGATCTACAATTGAAGTGCGGAAAACATAATCAACACCAAACATGTATTTACATATCAGTTAGAACCTTGCCTTTCAACATTATGAAGTCATGATTGCCATTTTCAGTTCATCAAAAATTGTAATTAGCAGGTTTATTTGAACCACATATGGGTCAGAGCCACCAATTAACCCATATATTATAACCTCTTTGTATTTTACTTAATTAAATGGTATGATGTGTATATGGCATGAAATAAATATATAATAGCTCGAAGCAGGCATAACTACTAAGTAGTTGTTATTGTTTTAATGAAAATAAAATTGGAACCTACTATACTGAGGTTGAAGAGACAAATACAAACAAATATAAATCTCAATTTAAAGAGATCAAAAGAAACTGTACGCTTTTTTGCTGAAGAATTAACTACAGAACTGAGGAGAACGTCAAGCTTAAGTTTTAATGTACCACTAATAACACTCTTTTGGTTATATACCATGAAAGATGCAATAAAGTATTCCATCAAGCAACAAGCATACAGTACCCTGTCCGTAGCGGTCCCGGTTGCGCGTTCGCAATCACTGCCTCCAGCAAAACATGTTTGTTCCCCAATCCGTATCTGGGCCTACGTTAAGTACAGGCCTACACAAGACCACCTTGTTTAGTACCAACTGGGCATCTCTCTGATCTGAGCAAGCTGCCTGTTTCTTTTCGAGTTATTTTCAAACCGGTATATTTAATAATATAATTAAAGTACGTACTTACACAATAGGCCTATACCAAAAACCGAAACCGATTGTCCCTAAAAGTTCACTTTGAGTCAATTACCCAGATCTCAAAACTCGGCGTCCTGTACCTCGCTACGGTTGTCAAGGACCGGTTCCATTACATCCGGGTCATATCAACTACAATACTTTTTGTTAGTTTTGAATGGTTGATTTACATGAGCATTTCATCTGGGTTAACCAAAACTTAACAGAATAACAATTTTGCTATTTATGCTAATTTATTTATTCTTTCTTTATTGCATTCAAAAATGTAAATAAAACATAAAGGATTAACAGGATTAATAAGAGCAATAAAAGAAATTATAATTTCGAAAATTAAAATACTACAATATATAATTATGTTAAATATGTTTTAACAATGATTTCTTTAAGGACAATAAATAAAATGTAAAAATGTCAAGATGCAAAAAATATTATTAATACAGTAGAACCCCTCCTTTGGGTCATTTCTGAGGACACCCCCATTAAGGGGACACTTTTCCGTGAAACGAGAGGAACATCTTTTAATACTACGGCCAACCACTATGAAGGAGACGGGAACTTTCTGAGTGCGCTAATTGGTCAAATAACTCATATTAAGGGCACACATAGTCCTCCCCCCACCCTATTGTATCACAACAACTGCAGTCTCAAAATAAGAAAAAAAATCATTCAACTTTATATTTTGAACATCTGTAGGCCTATTGATGTGTTCGTGATAAATAATTTTGTCAATTTTGATCCTTAACTATAGGGATTTCTTTTTCTTTGTTTTTCGTGTACTTCCATAATCCATACCATAACATACATCCTTAATTCTAAGTTGGTCATGCTACATCCATCTAAGTTGGTCATGCTACATCCATCCAATAGAAAGCTAAAAAAAAAATAATAATAAAAAAAAAAAAAATAATAATAATAATAATAATAATAATAGTATTAATAATAATAATAATAATAATAATAATAATAATAATAATAATAATAATAATAATAATAAAAATAATAATAATAATAATATCTGGTCATTTAACATTGCATCATGAAATAATATTGGGAACATATAAAACTATTGTTTGTTTTATTTTTTTGTTTTTTATATTTCTGGCTGATTTCATATTATAAATTAATTGTATTTGCATTGCAAATTATTGCTATAAATTAGTTATAATTCTATTGTAATTGATTCCCATGTCAATAAAAAATAAAATTAATGTATATCATTGTTGTATGAAAACATGCCAAAATCCCTATTAAGTGGACGACTTGACGATTTTGGCCAATGTCCCTGAATAGGGGTACCCCTATTCAGGGGACACTTTTTTTAGTCTCGAAGGTGTTCCGTTAATAGGGGTTCTACTGTCTATGTCGGTAATTGTACCGTATTCGTAACAAATGGAAATGCTGCTATAGCAATTTCAATGACAAACAGTAAACGGAACTAAAATATTAACAAAATTTAATAAATACGGCCCAAGGTTAAATTTAGCACATTTACAAAATAAGAAAGACCATTTCCATCCATAACATTACCGTACCAAGCGGTATTGCAATGCGGCAATAGGTTAGTAAAATTATTATTCGTTATAGTTGGTGGATAGGTCTATAAATAATGTAATGAATTTGTTTATTCCAAAACGATTGCTTAAAGATGTTGTTGATGTATACTGACAACATTGATCCAAACCCTCAGGCAATTAATCAACGATCGAAGCTGGTTGGCGAACAACTGCCTACTTAGCATTGTAAGGACGTGCTTGTTTCGTATGGTTGCCATGACGAAAGCAAGCTTAAGAACTTTATCATTAATATTATTATTATAATATTTTGGAATATATCGGTACCACTCTGACACAATCGAGGTTATCGCTGATCAGGCGACGATCTCGAAACAATAATTGGTCATCCAATTATGTATGCAGAAGTCGCTTGTTTTTACGAGTGGTTTGGCGCATTGGTTCAGTTCTCAACATTGGGGTCACAGGTTCAATCCCACGCTTTTAATTTCGCTTGTGTGCTTTTGCAAGGCACTTTACCTACGGTCGTCTTTCTCCACCCAGGAGGACAAGTGGGTACCTGGCAGGTTTAAATACAAAATTATTACTGCTGTAACAGTGTGTATACGACGTTCTCAGATCAGATCAGAAGTTGTTGATGACCTTTTGACCTGAATTCTGCAATGTGAGATTTTCGGGTCGATAAAGTCGAGACGGCCCGAGTGGAGTTTCATGTAAATGTTTCGTACGGAAAAAAAATCGCGGGCCGGCTGGGGTCCCCTTGAATACACCACTGAATTAAAATCAACACAGTATACAATATTTACTCCTCTAAAAACGAATTAATATTGAGGGGCCCCAACTTTCTTCAAAATTAAGTTGGAAATTATTTTGAATTATTAATTTTAGGTCTATTTATAAATGGGCCCCTAAGCCCTGGGCCCGAGTGCTTTGCACTGGCACTGCCCGTAGCTATGCCACTGGCCGAGACAGCGCTTATGCTAATAACTGCAGTGTAATAAACGCCATCTAAAATATTTTCTACAAACGGATGTAGGCCTTCTACATAAGTTTAAAAAAATAAAAAAAATAAAAAAAACTTGGTTTTAAATGTCTTTGTTATATTATTATTATATTAAAGTACAGTAATACTAATAGCCTAGACATGATTTTAGATGGCCGTGACTATTCGTTTTTAAACTTTTATGAACTGATATCAGAAAATGTTTGATGCACTCTACTCTACTGTTTTTGTTTTATTTTTTTGTGTTTATTTTATAAAATAAGCTCATAACTATACACTTTTGCAGCAAATACCTACAGCACTAATAAAACATACTCAGGGCAGACAAAACAAAAAATCGCACTTTTAAGTGCAATGTTTTTCAATTAAAATACTGTTGAGCGTATGGATGTTTTAATTGAACTATTTTATGTTTTAGTTATTTTTTTCCGTATTAGTATAAATAGAATAAAATTGACAGTAATTGATCTATTAAATGAATTATTTAGTGTTTTAATTGTTTATTTTTGTATGCCAGTAAGAGAGCTGAGGAAAAATTGCTCTGCCGCCCTCTATGCCTGCCGGTGTCATCCTTAGCTTCGCACACGGCGGTCGTATAATCAAAGATCGTATAGCGCCGCTATCTTTGGTATAATAAGCGGCTAGCGTTACTTTTGTGAAAAAGTAGACATAAGGCCTAGGCCTAGGCCTAAGTCATGAAACATGTTTAACGGAATTTAGTGCATTGAATGAAATCATAATTAGGTTTAGAATAGGAGCACAGGTATGTTATATGATATAATAATTTAGCTTATAGCATTGAAAACCAATAATAGTGTGAATTACAAATGAAACTTATGCCTGGCCTGGCCTAGTAGTAGCGAAACCGTAGTAGCTAGGCATCCTAGCCGGTTGCCTAGCTAGAGCAGGGAGCTGGCTAGTGTGGGCCTAGTCTAGGCCCTCCTAGAAGTAGTAGAGAAGGCGAAAGGATTGGCCTAGATAGGGGCCAGACAGGAGAGGTACCCAGGCATAATTATCCATTCCTAGGCCTAGCTTAGTGCTTGAAGCCTATGTAGGCATACCACAGACAACACTGTCGTGATTAATTAGCCTTGCGAACAGGTTAGGTTGTTTGGCTAGGCACATGCATGAGCGTTTGGCCCAACCAATTTGATTGACCTTGATTTGCATTGACATTGCAGGACAGAAAAGACTGCCTGAATGTACTACTACTATTATTAAACTACTGGAATGCTAGATGTATAGTAATGCTTTCCTGGGCGAGGTAACTACATACAGTATAATTCCCTTGTTGCTTAATTGAGCATAGCTGGGTAGGAATACAGGTACGGTACTGTACTTGAAATAATCTGGGCAATCATGACATAGTCTATTCAGAATTTTACCTTGTCAGTGACATTGATTATTTGAAATTGCTTTTCTCTTTTTATTTATCTCTAGCACATGTTGCAATGGAGCCTGCCTCCTTGCAGACTGATGTTAGTGATGACATCACAACCTCACATCACATGACCAGTGTGGTAACTATCAAAAATGAACCTGAAGATGCTGATTACGACATTGTGGAGCAAAATGTAAATGAAAGTGTCGATGCTAATTGTGAAGACCATGAATTTATACTTGTAAAGCAAGAATTTATCGACGTGGTGGAGGAGAGTCATGCAGATTTTGAGGATGGTGATGAGAATGATGATGAGAGCTGTAGTGATGATGCCATCCAGATAGATGAAAATTCAGAAACTGACCAAGACCATCATCAGTCAGTCACAGGACTTAGAAAGAAACCAATTGGTAACAACCCATTTCAATGCTTGTGGTGCTATAAAATCTTCACAGATAAAGAAAAACTAACAAATCATGAAATCTCTCACACAAGACTCAAACCTTACCATTGTACTTACTGCGAGAAAAAATTCTCACGGAATTCCCACCTTCGACGACATGAGAAAGTGCATACTACAGAGAAACCTCATAAATGCAGTATGTGTGATAAGCGATTCTTTCAGAAATCTCACGTACGACGGCATGAGCGTGTGCACACTGGAGAGAAGCCATACGCATGCGATTTATGTGATAAGAGCTTCTCTGATGGCAGCTTGCTGCAACGACATCAGTTAATCCACTCAGGGTTAAAGCCATTTCAATGTCAAGATTGTGGGAAAACGTATAACCAGCATGTCCAGTTGACAATCCATCAGCGTACCCACACGGGCGAAAAACCATACCAGTGTAACTGGTGTGGGAAAAAGTTCACACACAGTGGTACATTACGTGCACATGAGCGCACGCATACTGGAGAGAAGCCATATCATTGTAAAGAATGTGGTAAGAATTTCTCACAGCATTCACATTTTTCTCGTCATAAAAAAACTCACGTGAAAGGCAAGCCCTTCCAATGTAACATCTGTTTAGATATATTCCAGTATCGGTATGACTTAGAGGTGCATATATTAACGCATCCCAACAGTAAACCTTTTCATTGTGATCAATGCAACAAGAAGTTCGTATCAAGAAGCTCCTTAAAACGCCATTTAAAGAAACATGAAACACCGGTGATTTACACATGTGATTACTGCAAGTTGACATTTCCAGATCTCAAAGCCCTCTGTGCACATGAAGCAATACATTTAGATGATTCACTACTTATTTTACAAAATACTGAAATGGTTGAAAATGAAACTGATGACGAAATTGATGAGAAAAATATGACAGAAAGCAACTTGACAACTCATCAAAGATTGGTCGCAGCCAAGTTGATTACAAAGAAACCATTTCAATGTCAGGAGTGTAAAAAACGATTTTATACAAACTCTCATTTAAAAGAACATGAGAGGATCCACAGTGGAGAAAAGCCATACAATTGTCGTTTCTGCAAAAAGGCATTCTCTCGTATCTCGCATTTGAACAGACATGAAAAAATACATTCTGGTTTTAAGCCATTTCACTGTGATTGGTGCGACAAAACTTTTGTACAACTGGCGCACAAGAAACGCCATGAAAAAACGCACATTAACGCCAAAGACATTCTTCCGCAGTTACCAAATACAAATAACATAGTAGATGATAGATATCAGGAACCAGCCTTAACAGTCCACAAACTTGATAATTGTGTGGACAACCATGATTCTGACCAAGAGCTGGAGATTCAAGCTAGCAACCATCAGCATTTGTCAAAGAGCCATGGGCTTGATCATCAGGATGATTCAGTGAACTATCTCTCAGATCAGATGCAGGAGCAAGTCAAAGAGCCTGCATTTGATCATCAGGAAGATTCAGAGAACTATCTGTCAGATGATAGTTGCCACCTTCAAGACTCTTGCAACCAGATGCAAGAGCGACAGCAGGTCAAAGGCCCTGAGCTTCATTATCAGGATGATTCAAAGAAATATGTCCCAGATAATAGTTGCCACCTTCAAGACTCTGACAACCAGATGCAAGAGCAATAGCAAAAGTTTTAAAGTAGATTATGCAAAAATAATACAGTTAATGGTGGTAACATCAAATCTTTACTGCAACATGTTAAAATGCCAGTCAGAGTTTACGCTATGCAGTATTTTAAGAGGCTATTGTTGTTTTATTAAATTACAGTACACAGAAAAAACACTATATTTTTACATATTTTTATACCACATATTATGAATGGTAACCAATCAAGCGATTATTTGATTGTTCAAAATTCTTTGAGAAGATGGTAGTGCTGTAGAAGTGTTTGTACTTACTAATCAGTAATTAATTGAAATTTACATCCATCATCATATCATAATAATCTGTTGGAAGAACTTCCAAATATTATAACCAACTACATTTTAAAAGTTAATTCATGCAAATTACAGTACGTGCTAAGTTACTGTGATTAGTGACAACTACTGTAGGATCAATTGATACAGTTAATTGTATTGTAATAGTATTTTTAACAGGCATTATCACACTACAATAATGCTTTAACACAATCTAGTAAATGTTTAGTATGCAATTGATTTTTATCATGAATATAATATGGTGCTTTTAGAACTGAAGTGTGCTTTAAGATTTGCTGTAATACAATAATCATAGTATTGTGAATAAGTGGGGGCTAAGCCTTCATAATATATTTGTTGTACTGTACTAAAACCTTTGACCTTTAGCCTTCATAAGTTTATACTAAAAAGTATCATTGAAGAAAATTTCATCATGATTTCACCCTAACTATTGTTATACTGTACATGCATATGGGGCAGTGATTGTCAAATTTTAGTGAATATTATTGCTGTCTTATATACAGTATAACTGAATATGTCTGGTACAGTAATTAGCCTGAGTATTAAATTAATAAATTAAAAAAAATTATATCCACAATGAAATATTTAAATAATTGATTACAAATTATGTGAGAATTGTCCTTCTATTAGTGATTGTGTTATCACTGCTGAGCTAATAATATAAACTATCGATAAATTTGGCAGATAGCATATTTAAAGCTAAGTTTTTTTTATATTTAAATGATTGTATGTTAAAATAAAAATTGTATGTGCTTTGTCTACCCAGGTTCTACCAACCAGCTTATTTATATATTTATGCAATAACACTCATGCAATGTTGATAAATAGTTCTGTAGGTAGAGTGCTGTACTCTTTGTTATGATTATTTTTTTGTGATCCAGCATATATTCTGCCAATCATGCTGAAAATGTCAAAATCCTGAGCCATTTGCTGAGATGTAGTTTATAGCAGTGTTGGCTCCAGAAATTTTCCAACATTGGGTCCTGGAATTAAATCCATGGTAGAGTAGATTTTGCCCAGGTACTATGGCCCAAAACAATAGGGTTTGACAATCAAAACAACATTTGCATAGTCAAATTAATATATTTGGTCTGACAATCTTGTGGTGTCAGATGGCAGGGGTTCCAGACCTGTCTGACAGAGAGGAAGTTCCCCTTCTAATCCTCCTGGCTGACAGTCTCAAGTGTAGTGAATTTCCATTGACAAGCTCAAGCCCTCATTGTAAAATTCAGGGAAAAAAAATGAGTTTTCTTTATTTTTATTACGCCTGCTGCTGGCTTCAAATCTCCAAAAATAAGATATATATATTTCTAAGAAATTCCTAATTATATAAATTTAAAGCATTTAACCATCCCATTACTACTGTACATGGTCTACATTCACCAATAAAATTTTTATTTTCTCCTCCATCTGGATATTTTTGGCAAAACTATTTGCAAAAAATAAGAAAACACATTTTTTTTCCCGTCCTACTCTGACAATCTTTAAGAAAATAAATTTGGCAAAACAAGGTATTAAAAAAATCTCGCCCAATACAGTAGTAAAGACATGCAAAAATTATAAATTAATTAAATTGGGTTTAGTTTGTGGGGAATCCAGCAAATTATAAAAATATTCTATGGCACCACAAAGATCTTTATAGTTATTGATAGGAACAAGTGTTCAAAACGAATAATACAGGCATTGATCTTTAAATCATCCTATAACTTTGTGGTGTTGAAAGTGTTATATACTGCACATTAGAATTGCAGGTTTTAATAGATTGTGCTGATGTTATGACTAATGTACTTTAATATAGATATTGCTTATTTTTACAATAAAATATGAATGAGCTCAAAGACAGAAGATTTTTTATAAGATTTTATTTTTATGAAATATCTCATGTTGCAAATGTAATCCAGGCTTTAGTAACATACCACAGGGTTTGGCGCTCCAAGATGAATTTTTCTTTCTGCAACACTGCCAAATCACTAGGAGGCGCCCTTCAATTCCAAATGAGTACAAATTTACCAAAAGTTTGATGTTGATAAACATCTGATTACTGAATACTTGATTTCAATACAAGAGCACTAACACGAAAGAAAACACTGTAAACAATAAAATACTACGTTTTTAGCACAACAATTTCATTCAGTATTAAACACAAAACTACAAAATTGTGTTTAGTACAATTTATATATCTAATTCAAATTTGTGAATTGACAAGAAATGCCTTTAAAATCTTGCTTAAGTTGTTCGACTTCTTGTGTTACGTAAGAAAAATTGGGGAAAATACAACAAAATAAATACAATTTCAACAATATAGTAGCAATCAGAAATTGATTTTTAATAGGAAACGTTTTAACTTGGTAAGTGTATTAATTCTATAGAAGCACAAACAAATTGCTTTTACAAAGCGTTGTCTCTTTATGACTAACCCAAGCACGGCATAACAATACTGTGAATGATAGCTAAAATACTATAAAGCTGTCCACATTAATTAAATGTCTAATGATGCTCCAAATATTATTTTACTAGGACAATTTCATACCGGTAGACAGAATGAAATATGTAAATGATGGGCTTAATGGCAGCCAAGGCACTACAGTACTATTTATTTAGGTGTATGAGGACTGTCTCTTATACACGGTTAGGAGAGAAAACAGCAGCAACAGGCCTACTTGTACTTGTAGTAGTACAGTAATAAATTTAATGGCTTAATCTAACATACTTATAATACTGTTCCTTTGTAGCAAATATAAAATACTGCTAATTACTGTATTATGAATTGTAGATTAACATTGTTAGCTACTAGATTAACAAAGAACATGCAAAAATGCACTTCATTACAGCATACTGTATTAAAAATGAATTACAATCTTTAAAATTTGTTGTACAAGCGTATGGTTGCCAATTTGCAATAAAAAAAAAGATGAGATAATGTCCCCCATACTATCTATACCTATCAGATATTTAAAAAAAATAAGTATATCACATTTTTAAAATGAAGTCATAAGATAACAGAATGAAAAAAAATATATTTTGTCAATATTGAGAATATATGAAAGTTGTATAAATAAATCTGTTTAATCATATACTTTATTATATAATTATAAACAATTATAGTAATGGGAACATGTGTTTTAAACTTAAAGCACCGGTCTTGGAAACACACCTACTGTAGCCAATTAGCACAGTCAGATCCCCTTTACTCGGAACACCCTAAGGGCAGTGGTCAATATGTGGTGCTGTATGATTTCTTTCACTGAAGCGGGGAGCATGGGATTGGTATCATTATTTTAGACTCCATCCTTCGGATAAGTGGTACTGCAAAAAAAAGGGGAAAAAAAACAATTTAATTAATAATTTCGTGTTTCATTTTGACAAGAAAACAAAAAAACCACACCCTCTCTACCAATTTAACTGTTATTAATCACGGATCATTCTGTTTTAACAATGTGTGGGGCTTTACCATGCTCTATCGTAAGATTTAACTAGTTCACGCTCTTTGCATCAGACATTTATGCTGTGGAAAAATAGTCTGGTTAATTTTCCTGGGCAACGTTCTTTGGTTAAATTTACTGCATGACTGGTAATATTGCAAAGGAGATTCTTTCCACTGGATTTTTGACAAAGGTACAGCTATTTTGACCAAAAATACAATCCAATTTTGCATTTTGCCACAAGAAAACACAGAGTTTACAACAAACACCATCACCGCATAAACAACATGAATTTGTACGAATTACCTGTATACGCCACTAGGTCATCCCATCCTGGTTTTTGCCATGCTGATTCTCGAATTTCTCTCCTAGTTTCTAGATCCTTATACGCTAAGAAATCAAATAATCATCAATGAATAAATCAAGCATAAATAAATATGATTATTTAAATTTGATGTTGGTGAAATGATAGCACATGTTTATATGGCTCAACTGAATTCAGATGCTGTGAAGAATAATAGATTAACAGAGATTGAACTGATCATGGATATTTTAATATTAATAAAGTTTACACAAAATATAGATATTTACAAAAAAAGCATTATAGATGTTTGAAGGTGATTAAAAAGGATTGAACTGAATATAAATGTTTTGAAGATGGTCTAAGAGGACTGATTTGGAATGAATAATGTTTAAAGAATACATTAAGTAGGATTTGACTTATAAAGATTTTCAAATAAATTGGGGATTAAAGAGGGTTGGACTTATTGCAGATGTTTAAAAGATAAAGAAAATAATTCTGGTTGAAACAAAGATAATGATATAGTGGTACAGTATTTATATTAATATTATATTTACCCCATAAATGGTGAACCAGGTATAATTCACCTATTTGCCCAAATAAGCCTGCAATGGACTCCTGTGCCGATTGCCTATACTTAATGCCTCTAGCCCTTCAAAAATCACAGGGATTAAAAATTCAATATTACAATAATCAGTATTATTGGATGTTTGCCTGGACCGCCATCATACACTAACGTTTCTCTTTTCCTTAAATATCTTTAAAAATACTTTCTTAAAATATTGCTTTTGGTAGAAAGAACTGTTGTAATTAAAATTTCCACTTTCACATATAGAGGGTTTATTAGTGTATGTGGGATCAGGCAAAACATTCAGAGAGTAAACACTGATGATTGGTTTGCGCTAGATCACATTCTAACAACTAACAGATACATTGTTAGTTGTTAGAAATAAGTCATGTGATCATAAGCACACACACACTATCAATATTTAAAATATCAACACATCCTGTATTTGATCTGTGAATCTGGAATAAAACATATTAAGACCCTATTATTACGGATCACTTTCTTGATAAGATAGCATGGCCGTGGCGCGGTATCTACAGTGGTGCACCTGGACAGAACTTAACTCAAAAATTCACAAACCAAGGACAGGTGCCTTTATAATTTCACAAACACGATTCCTACCCCAGATATGGTGTACATGGTAGAGGTCACCGACCTGCGTGAAGAGACCCGTAACTGTTGTACCTTCTCCAATGCGACTGCGTATACCGCGTGCCCTTCCAATGTAAACAGTTCATCGTTACTTCCTTGTTTTTTCCTAAATGTTGTTTACTTTAAAATGCTATTAACAATTACAATTTACTGTATTTGTTCTTTTTACTTTAATATTATATTTGTTTGCTGTTATAAAGTTTGTTGCTTACTATTGAGCTTGTTTGAAAATAGTTTTCTTCCAATTCTTTAAATTGGTTTCTACAAAGGTATTTAAACTCAAAATACATCTAATTTTATTACAAAATATTCAAAAAAGAATATGTCTGTGTTCTATGAACAAATATTTTATAAATTGTGTTTCTATACAGTATTATATTATTTAAAACAAATACTCTAAAGATTATTTCCTGTAATAATTATTTATTTTGTCAATATAATGCACACATATGTTGTTATATACTGTCTTCTAAAATCAGAATACTAAAAACTATAAAATATTGCAAACATTCAATTAGTAAAAAAAATATTAATTATCAACCTTCATTTATAATAATAAACTAAATATTAATCAAATTTTATTAATGAACCTTAACTAACATTAATTAATGTGGAAGAAAACTACATAAAAGTGCAAACAGCAAACAACAGTATAAAACAACAGAACAAATAAATAACTGCATGGTCGCTTTAACTGTACTCGGAAAAATTATGAGCGAGTTATATAATTTCTACTGGTGTTATGATCTTATGGATTGGATTTTGTTGGTGTGAAACACATCAAGAATATCCCACGAAAGTCCCGAGACTTATTGCCAGTTTGTTCTTCTGGTGGTGAATTGGGCAGTACACCGGGAGACAATCCCCTACTCTTTTCCGAAGAGTGTACTGATTTCTTAAACATGCAAATGGATCGTTTTGCACATGGGACTAACGGCTTAACGTCTCATCCGAAAGACAGTACGCTTTTGAAACTTGCATTTCAGCCTTCCAGATGAAACACAAGGATGGGAATTGAACCGGGGACCAAGAGATCTCCACGGTTCAGTGCACACACAGTGACTATCACCAGTTTAGCATACTGAGCTAGCTGTTATATTTAGTTCGAAAATTTTTATGATGTTTCATCAAATAATATTTTAACTTTAACTTTAAATAAGATTTTGTTTTAATATTTGTCATATAATAGTACCGTAGGAAAATTGTGAACAGTAATTATACTTGTTATATTTTAAGTTAGTGTTTTGAAAAAATGTATTATTTGTTTTAATGTTTTAAGTATTTGGTTTTAATATATAATCTTTGTGTAATTTGATTACAGATTTTTCAAAATGTAATCTCAAGACTGTTTACAGTTGTCAGGTACACTTCAGAAGTATTGCAATATTGAGCATTCTTTCAAATATGCTGCTTAACTAATTCAATAATAATTGAATAAGCTGGTGTATCAGGCACAGGTCATGCTGTATGGGAACATGCACAAGATATAGGTACATGATAGACACCATAAGGATACTTATATCATGCATGCCCACATTTCTACAACACAATTCTTAGAATTGTGTTGCAATCTTGCTGGGGTTTGGGAAAATGTTTGTGAAATTAGAAGTGGCAAAATCAAGAGTGTTTTTTCTTAAACACAATAACACAAATGAGCTTTGCCTAAAAAAAAAAATCAATGCATAAAATGTGGAACATACATAATTAGTACAAATATAAAACCAATGTAAATATGAAATGACTTTCAAAACTACCGTTTTTTGGAGTGTAAAGAAATTATTCAACAATGTAAACAATTAGTATAGTAGTATTGCAGTTTAACATGTTAAATTAACAAGGAGTTTTGTATTCATATTAATACTGTTCAGGTATCTAAAATATAAAATTTAGAAAACACAACAAAAATTAAAGATGAATTGATGAATAATTATTTTACATACCAGTTGTTTCCCCATTCAATCAATGTACCAGGCTAGAAATGAAGACAAAATACAAGACAGTAACAATAATTACAGTATAATTATCTTTATTATGTTTTATATCAAGCACAATGAACACATTATTATTATCAGCATGAACAATTTTGTCATCGCCACCATCCGTGAAGTAGCAGACAGATGATAAATTTCATATACAGTAGACTCCTCCTCTGTGTAGGCACAAGCCTAAAATCTTAATCAGGAATATTATAAGTGTTGCTTACCCTCAGATAATAGCTACGTAGTTCATAAAGATTACCAGGTGTCCGTACGTCAGGCTCAGGCCAGAAATTAAACGGTAATAATAGTTGATTGCTTCTATTAATTAACATCTGTCCTCTCTGCTTCTTATATTCAAGGTACTCCTACAGTAATAATAATTCAAAATTTCATAGTACAATAGGTGTTGGAAAAAAAAAATTATATTTAATAAAATCAGGTTTAATTAAATGATTAAGATCAAGCCCATAGCAATGCTTATTCGAAGGGGGTTCATGAAATCCACCCCGACCCCACCGGCCTGAAATCAAAAAGATCAAATACAAAAGCTAGCTTTTAAAATATACGGTCAAAGAATCTTGTAGACTGTTTTGATATGAAATCATAATTTACCTCATCTTTCCATAACAGTTCTGACATTTCCTTCACAGACTTGTAGCCATCATATGCCCAAATGTGAACTGCAATAAATAATAATTTTTGCAAAGAAATTTATAGTTTACACAATTTAAAGTGAGGAAATGTACTGTAACAGCAAGTAGGCCAGAATTTGATAAAACCAACATAATATTTTTAGCTCCCAATAAAACAAAAAACACCTTGAATAAAGAGAATAAAACACTTTAAAGAATTGCATTGTTGGTGAGGTAAATGTCAAAAAAATAGGAATATTTTAAAATCAAATGAAAGACCCTATACCAGCTTGATCTTGCGGACCAAATGCTGTGCTCCAGCTTCCAAACAATTTGCAAGGCATGTTGGGATTGTCATGAACTCTTCTCAGGTGATGCTCTCTGAAAGTAAAAGGTAATTATTAAATGCATTATTATTAAATGTATTATGTTTTACCAATGCAGGTAACACATTTGTGTTTAAATGCAATGATCACAAGATCAGGAGAACATACATGTATAAACAATTATAAATGATGTTACTTCAATGAAAGACAAGAGAAGTAGGCTTAAACATATTATATGGATACAGTAATAAGTTATCTGTCATTTTGTATGAATTAAAAATACAGCTTAAATTTAAATAAAATAGATAAAATAAATAATATAATATAATATAACTTTCCAATGTATGATGGTAAAGAGACACACAGGGCTATCAGTCTACAGTGACTTTATAGTCACTAATTTAAAATAAAAATGTATTTTTTATTTTTATAATTCATTCATCAAACTATTATAAGAACTTATTTATTGGACACTTACGATAACTTTATATAATCTCCCATTCTATCAGGCTTTATGTTGTGTACTGGAAAATGAAAATTATGGAAAAAAAAAAATTTAGTTGTTAGTACTGCACATTGATTAGGTTGGCAATACTTTGCATGTAAACATTTGATTTGATATTTCCCCCTTCCCACACAACTATCTGTCATGCTCATATTATAACATAGGTACATATACTGCAGGCCTTGATAATTATCATCCTGTGTATGATATATATAATCCATACCTTGCATTTCATAGACGACTTGCTTGTTAGCAAGAGCTGTTGAGTGAGCTTCGGTTGCTGGTTCAACTCTTTTTACATGCAATAACTTGCTTAGCCAACCCTCTTTAGGTGCTGATCCATCACCAGATGCAAATTGTCTGTAATAATATAATAAAGTTGTTATAAGAAAGAGGTCCCTTGCTTCACATTTTGCTTTTATTTGATTTCATATCAACTACATCCAACAGCGGTATCACCCATTACAGGATGTCTTAATACACAATGTAATAATAAAATACAAGATAACATGCAATAAATAACAATACCATATGGTTACCAGAAAAATTGACACTTTATTTACAGTTAGGCTATATAAATAGTAATAATATCTCTCTTTTTTCTACTCAGTGGGGAAAATGGTAGGTTAGAACAAGCCCTACAAATGATTCTGCTAGCCTACTGTATACTGTAAAGTTTTTAATTGCAAAGATGATACCTCACAACCCAGCTCAAATATGCATGGGAAATCACTAGGAAAATAGGTACACAGAATAACAAAGATACAAGAAACACAAGATAGAGCCCTCGCATAGTAAAAATGAGGAGGAAATTGGGCCCGACATAGGCGGCGCCCTTCTTTTTTATAATGCAAGTTTCCTATACTTCGGGCCCAACGTACAGGGTGCCCTTCTGTTGCTAAGTATATCCAGACGCAGATGGTGCCCTTCTTTACCACTAGAGTGTGTCCGGCCATACGATTCTGTGCTATATTGTTGTTTTCTATACTGATCCATGGGCTTAATTGTTTTGTGTTTTATTTCGATAATAGCAACGATTTCTACCTCCGCCAAGGAGGTTAAGTATTCACCGATGTCACTGTCTGGGTAATTGTAAAATTGTGTACAATTTTTTAATTGAGAAATGACAATTAAATACACGACGACTTGGTAACAAAAGTTTGGTAGAAGTTTTTTAGATCCGTACGGGGCGCCCCATTGTTTGTATTCCCACCATGCATTTCGGTGGAACACTTTTTTTCTGTGGAGAACTTTATCTTGTGTTTCAATATCTTTGATAATATTAATTTTAAATATAATTAGGCAAAATTTGCACAGAAATCAGCTCTTATTTTCCTGAATGTGCGGATGGATTACTAGGCCAAAATTTTTGCCCTGAGATATATTTCCTCTGCAGCCACCAACAATAATTGCTATTATTATTGTTATTATTATTATTCAGGCTAGACTAAATATTAGAGCAGATACAGTTAAAAGGGGCCTAGGTGTAGATGCTGTGCTAGCCTTGCCTAGGAAGGGGGCCTAGCTAGAATTACTGATCGGGCTCAAAGGACGGGCCCACGCTGATCAGGCCCATTTTCAAGACGATTGGGCACAATATTTGAAAGTGGGCCCGATCGTCCTGAAAATGGGCCCAAAATCTAGAAATGGGCCCAATCGTCCTGTGCCTGATCGTCTCGTAGGCCTGATCGCCTGCAGGAAAATTCTTTTCAGCACATGGCTGTCGTGGTTTGTATGTGTTTTATTTATTTCTTTATTTTTAATATGAACATAAAATGAAGACGAACAACTAGAAACATATTCAAAGAATAAAAGACACAATAAGGCACCAAAATTGGCAACTTATTTCTATTGTGGTCCTTATATAAACACAAAAAAAACCCCAAAAAACAACCTGTGACAGCAAAAACACAACTAAATGAAGAAGGCAGCCTAACAAAGCATATAAATCAACTACTGTAAATGAAGTTACATGATTTCTTGTTTTTAAGAATTGTGTTTATAAATTTATAACTTATAAGCTTTAGTTTTTTTTCCTTCAGTGTGTAGATTGAGGTTGAATTTTAAACTGTTGTAAATGGCAAACCAGTTTCAATATTAAATGTTAAGCACCTTTGTCGACCAGATTTAGGAACTTCTAATGAAATTATGTTGGTAGCAAACCTGGTAATTGATGTTTGATATACCGAAATAAATAAATAAACCTAGGCCTACCCACTAGGCCTAGGCTTGTACTAGGCTATTAACAGGGAGTTGTTCCCTGGTTAGGCTATATTCTATCCTACTCCTACTAGCCAAGTAGGCTATTATGTATGCAATGATCATTTTTAATTACCTGAGTATGTCAGAACGCAATAATTAATCAGAATGAAAGTGGGCCCGATATTCCACACTAGAGGTGGACCCGATCGCCTTGGCGTGGGCCCAATCGTCCTGGTCACCCCTAGCTAGCTAGTACTAGGCCTAGGCTAGTAATAGGCCTAGGCCTAGTAGTAGATAGGGCCAGCCAGGCGGCTAGCTTCGCTCTACTAGGCCTAGTTAGGGCGCTGGATTTAGGCCTATGCTGGGGCCTGCCCACGGGTATACAGCATTTTTTAAACATATATAACTTGGACTATAGCCATGCATTACAATATTCTCACCTGGTTACAAATATAGAACAAACTGGATTTGCTTTAACAAAGCAGGATCGAATCGTTCTTATCGATGCCGCACTCAACGCCATTTTATATTTTGCTGCACTTTGAAGGTCGTCGATCCGCGCCGCCACCCGTCGCGTCCACGACCTCTTGTTGAGTGAACCATGGAGGTAATTAATACCTCCATGGGTGAACACGGAATTGTCGGGGTGTTGACGTGTTCGCGGAGAGGGGAGGGAGGAGGGGAAGGGCGCAATGGAAAGGTGAAGTGGTGGGGGCTCGATGATTAGGTGAGGGGGTGCTAGCTCACAAAATAAGGTGTTGAGGTAATGTAGGGTATTAATCTAGCGTAATTTTTTTGTGCCGGGTGCCCTGGAGGAGGAGACGGGGAGGAGTATTTTTCCATGCACACACCTCTGCTCCGTCACTCTTTTAATGTTACCTATTTACATGCAACATATTTATTCAGAATACATTATTCAAACAATGAGAGGAAAAAAAAAAAAAAACTGACAAAGTTTACTGAACCGGCCTAGCGTTTGATCGTGCATCAAAAATGAATCAATAATTGAAAATAAAAATATTGGGACCACTACCCAGTATCACGAGATCATAGGCCTTACTTCAAATATTCGACCACGAATAGTACTAATTTATATTTAATTGTTTCGATCTGTGTCAGTATAAAAAAGTTGGCAGTTTTGTGTGGATCTTTAAAACTTTAATACACGTCTGCCTGCCATATCAAGAAAAACAGTTTTTCTTCTAAGACACAAAAAGAGGTAATTTTTTTTTTTGGGTGGGGGGATTTGACGGAACTTTGGATGGGCTTCTTTTGTAAAGTAAGAGGGGGGTAGGGAACGGTTGTTTTCAATGAATTCTGTAAATTTTGTGAATTACTATAAAACAAAATAGGGCCACTGTAACATCAATCTGTATCATGGAGTGATTAACCCACAATTAATTCACATATAATGCTGTACAAGTGTGATTTTAGTTTATTTTGTACCTTTGAAATTCATGTACACTACAGTACCACACAAGTTTCTTTTCTAAATGGGCTTCTGTTCGCGGCTGCTCCATATATAATATACATTAAAATAAAAAATCGGGACACTAAAAGTATCACAATTAGCACATCAACTTACGTGAAAAAAAAAGATAAATACAAAAAATTGAAAAAAAAACGAGACTTGAGAGAGAACAATAAAACACTAACAAATAAAAAAAAAAAGCAAAAAAGACAAGATCACCAAACCATTACGAATTTACATCAAAAAGTTAAGAAAGTAAAACATGCCTATAAAAACATCATTTAGCCATCTTATTAAAACCAGTAGGCCTATCTTTGAATAATTAAAAAAGTAAATGCAATGCCGATTAATACTACAGTACATTATGTATTTTGGAGTAGGCCTAATGTGAACAACATAAACAAAATACTTTAATTCTTATTTGTAGTTTGATAATTTCTGATGTTTGATTTTGTTAACTTGGGATGCACCGAGTTCGCACCGAGAGACTCGTGTGCCAAAGTTCCAAATTTAATTGTAGAGTTCATAAATTAAATTGAATCGCGCCCTCTTTGGATTACATGCATCAATGCACACTATACACACACATAACACACGAGATTCTGGACACCGACGGCGTGATCGGTAAGAATAGATCTGCAGTGTAGTGTAGATGTGGATTATTTGTTTGTTATCAAATAATCCAAATGCAGAGTAATATGTATCTCATCTAGCCAAGACAAAAAAGCAATAGATTATTTTCGAAATAATAAAGTAAGTTGTAAGCTAGGGCCAGCTAGGCCTACAATAAAATAGGCCTAGCTAGGCTAAAAGTAAGTAAGCGTAGGCGAAGCGCCGGCATTCGCTTGCGCCAACTCCCGACAAGCTTCCGTCTTCAATTTGTCGTCGCTTTCGAACCAGCGTTTGCTTGTTGATGCCTATCAAGCAAGGCAAGGTTCTGCTATACAGTATAAATACTACTACCATGGAGGTATTTGTTTACATTCAATCATATTAATATAGATAGATCTACGCCATTATTACTACGTACGGTATATGACTATTATATTATTAATATGAAGCTATTCCATATAAAACACATAAGCCCAGTCAGTAGTTTAATACAGTAATAATAATTTGTACAATTTTACACTGCACTGTCTGTATGTGTATGTTCTACTACTTACTAGGTCAATGTTTGTTGTTTTTGGTAGTTATAAGCAGCAGTGGCAGCAGAATGTATCTGAAACAGTGGCGGCACCAGCTGGGGGTGGGGGCTTAAGCTCCCCCCCCCATCGGTCTGGTCAAGCCCCCTATTTGCCAATGCTCGTCGGCAGTCGGACCAAAAAAAAAAAAATAGGCCTAGTTTTCCCATCCAAGCCATCTAGAAGTCCTCATTTTTCTTCAAAATCTCGTTTTGGGAGGAGGGGATACCCCTTCCCATACCCACCCTCGGCTCCGGGCTTCGGTCCTCAGATAACACTGCACACCATATTTACACCCATAAATACATAGGGGACCCCCCCCCCCCCAAATAAATATCCTAGATCCGCCACTGGTCTGAAATGACAGTTGGAGGACCAGTTGTGATAAAAAACGCATCCACACCAACACAATGAAGGTCACAGAGGTGTCTTAGACTAGAGTCATACTGTAAGGTTCTTTAATTGCAAAAACTGGCTTAAATTTGCACGGAAAAACATGACATGAAAATAGGTGCATACTCATACTGTAAAATTTTTTTAATTTGCACGTGGAGGATCTAAAAAATCAGCTCAAATTTGCACAGAAAATCACTAGGAAAATAGGTGCGCGGAATCGTTACTGCTGCATAATTGCATTGGTTATATATTAAGATTTGGTCAAAGCCTATTTTTTGGGCAATATCTGTACAGAAATCGGCCCTTATTTTCCAAAATGTGAGGACAGATTTCTAGGCCAAATTTTTGCGCGAGCCTTACAGTGGGGTGGAGGGGGTGCACAGAATCATAACTACTGCATTGGTTATATATATTCCCTGTGCAGGTATTACTTTACAGTTTGGTCTGAGAGTGTGTGCCCAACTCTAAATTTGTAGTCAAGTTTAAGCTGTTGGTTACAATGAAGGTGAAAAGTAATATAAATAAAAATCATGAAATTTTTTATTTTACAGACTTGAAAATATGATACGTCAAATTTGCCAGAATTCTGCAACTATCTCTAAATACTCATTGCTTGCAAGGACCTTCTGCAGCAACAGTAGCAAGTCAATTATTTATGATGTGATCATTGTTGGTGGTGGCCATGCAGGAACGGAGGCGGCCTGCGCTTCGGCCAGGATGGGTGCTAACACGCTCCTACTTACACATAAGATACAAACAATAGGTAAGACCATTGCTAGCTTGGAGCATGAGTTGCCGTAGATTCATGTGGCAGTGTAAATAAGCTGCAGATGAGCTTCTTATCGAATCATCTAATTGGATTAATCCATTTTGTCTGGTGGGCAAACTTGTCTCTTTCCAGTACCAATGTACAAATTATTTACTACATTTATAGAATGTCTGTATGCATTTTATATTAATTAGTACCCCAGGTTATTTAAACACTTGAGGGAGAATTGATATAATAAGCTTTCCAGATAGTATTGTAATTTTCTACTCAAGTGATACTCATGGCCAGCAGGTAGACAATTTATAACACAAATTTTTGGGAGCTGGTTCAGGTTAAGGGAGTCTTTTTGCTTTCTCACAGGAGCTGAGGGGACAATACCGATGTTGTGGGAGGCTTGGTGGGCCCCTGGGGTAGACCATGGATGCGTGAGCTATTTACCGTTTTGTGAGGGCCAGTTGTTCAATTAAAGACTGCTATATGGCCTTACTATATTCTAGCACTACAGGCATGTTCTATTATTTTGTACTATTGAAGTACTATTGATGTACACCTTCATGTTAATGTCATGTACTGTACTTTGCTGTAGCAAACGAGAGAGCAGCTTAGCTCAGTCGGTTAATCTGGTGGTAGCCGCTGCATGTGCGCTGAACCGTGGAGATCTCTAGGTCCCCGGTTGAATTCCCATCACTGCCTCTCCTTGTGTTTCAGCTGGAGGGCTGAAATACAAGTTACAATAGCGCACAGTCTTTCGGATGAGACGTTTAAGCTGTTGGTCCGTGTGCATATATGGCTCATGTGCACGTTAAAGAATGCAGTACACTCTTCAGAAAAGAGTAGGGGATTGTCTCCCGGTGTACTGTCCAATCACCACCAGAAGGACCCCACTGGAAATAAGTCTTCTTCTAGACTTTCGTAGGCTATCCTTGGTGTTTACACCGAATAAATCCATCCATCCATATTAGATTGTTATTACATTTATGCATTATATTCTTCTATTGCAGGTGAAATGTCATGCAATCCATCTTTTGGTGGAATTGGAAAGGGTCATTTGGTACGAGAGGTCGATGCCCTTGATGGAATTTGTGGACGTATCAGTGGTAATTTTGGAAAAATTTGTTTAGAGATGTTACTGCTGACAATTGCCTGATAGTCTATGAATACATTTTTTAGTAACTGTATGTAATATTTAATTATATGCACATGGACCAATTTTTTTGCTTCAATCCCTTTTAAATGACAAACATACACACATGATGCTTTCCATAAACTTGTTTTGAGGCTTAGAAAGTTGACTTGTTTTTGGTCCTGAAAACAAACATCTTGACACTCAACTTAACCCCAGGACCCTGAGATTAGAAGAAAGTACAATAACCGCCCAGCTTTAATAACTCCACATTATATGGGCTTACCATGGGACCTTACAACAGTGGTAACATTCAATTATAATAATTAACAAAACATATTCGTACCTGCAGTCTTAAGTTAATTTTACTGTATTATTTTTCTTTACAGATAAATCAGGAATTCAGTTTAAGGTACTTAATAGAAGGAAAGGTCCAGCAGTGTGGGTATGTTTGATTTATGAACTGGCTAATAATAACACTCAGATCCATAAGAACATGACTTAGTAATGGTAACAATACACTGTGTCATTTTGAATGCTTAATTTCAGTGTGCAGATATTACTTACCAATTTATTTACCTATGTGATGTTTTGATAAAAAAAAAATTACCCATATAAAATCTTTATAAATTCCGAAAAGAGAGATTTATTTGTTCCATATTTAACATTTATCGTGAAAAATGTTAATACAGTGTACTTGTTTTTCTACTTGTTCGATTTTTTAGGGTTTGAGGGCGCAGATTGATCGTGATCTATACCGGCAGTACATGCAAGATGAAGTATTGAATACACCAAACTTAACAGTGATGGCTAGCCCAGTAGAAGATCTCCAAGTCCATGAAGCCAGTGAACCTGACCATGAATGGATGAAGCAGGCTTGTAATGGAGTCATTCTGGGTACTGTATGGTGTAAATTGTTACTTTGCGGCGATTGTGTTGTTATTGGTAGTATTCATAATTTAAACCAAGTAAAATGAACTGCTACCATTCATTCTACTATCTGTGGATTTTCGTCAGGCAATGAAGCTGGAAGCTAGATGTTATTAGCAACGCTTTTCAGGCTTGTATAGCGCCATGTGCCAGCTGTTTTGTCAGGAGGTCTGGGGGCCTCAGATGTGTGATTGTTATGTTTCATGATGTTTGTTGCATTATAATTTGCATCTTGCAGCTAATAATTATTATAACCATCAAAAAAAATAAAATAAAATAAAAAATTTAATAAAATTCAAAAGTACACTTATTGACCAAATTAAACAAATGAATTTAAACAAAAGAAAATCAAATCAATTTAAACAAATGTAATATAAAGCAATTTGGTTCAAAAATACATTTATTGACCAATTTAAACAAATGAGTTTGAAGAAAAGAACATCAAATCAATTGAAACAAATGTAAAATTAAGCAATTTGGTCGAGAGAAGAAACCTCAGTTGCCTTTTCTCTGTAATCCCTTTTTTAACAAAATACTTTGAACAAAAACAGAACCATTCACAAACACAAATCTCTATAATTATTAATATATATTTTCTTATTATTTTAGAAAAACCATGCTGACATGCAATTTTGTTTAGAAAGTTCTATACTTAAATTAATTTTCTTAGCTGATGGGAAGAGGATTTATGGAAAGTCAGTCGTGATAACAGCTGGAACGTTCCTTCGTGGTGAGATTCATCTAGGCCTGGACTCAAGGCCTGCTGGCAGGCTAGGAGATGAACCATCTGTAGGACTAGCAAAGACCTTAGAAGATGCAGGCTTCACAGTAGGAAGGTTAAAAACAGGTAAGTAAAGTTAATGTGTTAACAGTTATTTATTTTAAAAAGTTTTTTGAAAATGTATGATTGTGTTACGGTAATAAATGCATTTAGCAGGTTAAAAATGTATGAAATGATTTGTATACGTATGATGTAATTATATTATTATAAGCCATTTTAATCATAGAGCTCAAGATGGGTGGACCACCTTCACAAAATATTTTGAAATAAATAAATAAATAAATAGAGGCCACTCAATCAAGGAAATTGATCAATTATGTTAATAAATTATGAAATAAGATACATTAATACATTTTTATTTTAACTTCCTTCAAAATCCACTGGCTTTATTTGGAAACTAGATAGATTTGCAATTGTCACATCTAAGGTAAAAAATACTGTATAGAAAAGAATAAATTAAATGAATAGCCTTACATATCAGAATAATACATTGTTTGGAATAAGTACAGTAACCATCATCTTTGATTGCACTTCAGGAACTCCTCCAAGGGTAGATGGCACGTCGATAGATTACTCAGGATTAGTACAACAGCCTGGGGATGCTGATCCTATTCCATTTTCATTCATGAATGAAAGAGTTTCAATAAAGGTAACAAAGGCTCATAGGCTCGTCAGCAATTATAGAATTTAATAAGAGGAAACTAAGATAATGTATATTGTTAGTAGTTTCAATAAAGGTAACAAAGGCTCATAGGCTCGTCAGCGTCAGCAATTATAGAATTTAATAAGAGGAAACTAAGATAATGTATATTGTTAGTAGTTTCAATAAAGGTAACAAAGGCTCATAGGCTCGTCAGCAATTGTAGAATTTAATAAGAGGAAACTAAGATAATCTATATTGTTAGTAGAATTGATGTAGTTATAATTGTGTTTTTGTGTTACCGTATGTGCTTTTTAATATATTTATATTTATTTTTATTTGGAGTAGATTTGCAATAAGGAAGGAAAATTTCATAATTGTACCTTGTATTTTTATGACAATAAAAGATCTGTATCTGTATCCGTAAATATTTGTATCTAAATAACATTTACTCACTACAACTGCATTATTTGTTTTTCGTTTCACATTCATTTGAAGCCCTTTGTTTCTTTTTTGTATGGGTGTGTATAAGTGTTATTCTGGGAGAGGGGTGAGTGTGACTGATAGTGATATCATTATCAAGGTATACATCATAATCATTAATTATGATTTCATAAACTGTATTTTTAGACAGAAGATCAAATATGTTGTCACCTGACCCACACAAATCACATGATTGATGACATCATCTTGGACAACATGCATCTCAATAAACATGTTTCAGAGGAAACAAATGGACCAAGGTAAAAGGGAAATGTCCTGTTGGTCTTTGCTGACTCTTCATAAACTATAACCCTTGTAGCAGATGATGTAAATTGTACATTATTTTGATTATATGTGATTTATATGAGGTCTAGTCTCATTCCGGGGCTTCAAAAGTGCTGCAGCAAACAGAAAACTCACATTGGCTCCACTGGTTTGAGTTGGTTTTTCTCTTATTTTTTTTTTAACGTTTTCAATAATATTTAATCTTCCGAAAACATTTTTATGTATGGAATTTTTAAGTAGAATATTACCATAAATATTTATTCATAAATTGTTTACAGCGTCAACACACACAAACAGATGTTTATGTTTGTAACATAAACATGGAAGCGGTTTGCCGCAGCAGGAACGGTTTTGTTTCCCACCCTTGAGGTCAGGGTTTCAATCCATGACACATTGCTTCTCTCCTCCCAGAAGTATAAATGTGTATCTGGTTGAGTTCCCTGCTGCTGCACCAATATGACAGCAAAACTTAAGCATGTGAACCCAAAGACCCGGGATAAACTTACAGTGCTTCGTAACTTCAATGAAAAGCGCTATACAAGAAACAAATAACAAGTAACAAAGTAGTATATAGAAGTATACTTACAGTATGCAATTATTTGTTTTGATTTCTTTCAGATACTGTCCTTCCCTTGAATCAAAAGTGTTACGTTTTCCAAAGAGACCACACCAAGTATGGCTGGAACCAGAAGGTCATACTCTACTTTTTTGAAACAATTGTTTTTCTTTTAGTGTATTTAAGCTGATAGATAGTACTTCCAGATGTTTACTTTTGGTTGTTCTGCATTATATTTTCCTAGTTTAAGTTGATAAAATGTCACCACATTGATGAACAATTATTCTCATTTATGTGTTTTCTGTTTGTACAGGTTTACATACAGATGTTGTATATATGCAGGGCTTCTCCATCACATTGCCACCTGATCTTCAAGAAGCCTGCATCCACAAGGTAACAGGATTAGAGACGGCAAAAATGCTTAAGCCGGGTATGAACTAAGTCGTACCATTATCCATCATTATTTATACACTCTGGCACTCAAGCCCCTTATTATCATTCTTTTTCTTCTCTTAACTTATACTCAGTGTCTTGGTCCAATTTGAACTGTTGCTTTTTTTTGTGTGAGTGTGTCTTCTTTGTCTGGTTTTGTCAATGTCCTTTTTCTTTTCTGTTTGTTTTTCGTGTCTCCCTTTTGTCTTTTTGTTTTCAGGCTGACTCGTCACAAGATGATTTTCTTCTTTGGTCTATGCCTTTTACCTTTTCTCATGAATTTTTTATGATCTTGTTTTATATTTTTGTATGAATTGAAAAGGAATTAAATAAATGTTACTTTGAAACCATCCACAGCTTTATACTGTATACATATCTGTGGTTTTAAATCTCATGACCACTACCACACTTTGCACTAAGTGCTTCTTCTCTTTGGTCAAATAACACATTAAGTATAACCTCAACACTACAGGATTTAACCTGTACTAGTAAGCATTAACATAAGGTAGATCCCAGGCACAGAGAATCACCCACACATTTTTGTAAACACAGCAAAACAATAGCAACACTGTGGCTTTCTCTTTTCATTTTTAATACCCGGATCCATCTCCAATTAACTTTGGAGGTAATTTTCTTCGTATTTTTGACAGGCTATGGTGTGGAGTATGACTATATGGATCCACGACAACTTAAACCTACACTTGAAACAAAAAGGATTCAGAATTTGTTTTTTGCTGGACAGATAAATGGAACTACAGGGTACGAGGAGGCAGCAGCACAGGTAAGTGTATGTTCATAAGTAAAATGATGGTGAAGTTGTTAAGATGTTCACCCCCCTCCCCCTCCCTCCCAATCACAACCATAAACAATTGCAACCTCATAAACAAAACAGTTTATAGAGTATACTGGGTCCCAAATGATCAGGTAATTTAGAAGAGTTACCACAATTATAAAGTTGGTAAAAAGACTGATTGATTTTTAAACTTGTCAGAATGCAAGATGGTAATAAGAAAACAGAGCCTAATTGTTTTTCGTATGTGGGAATATGCTAATTGCTCATTTGCATAATTAACATTTCCCTAATAAGGAAATTTATGCTAAATACCATCATAATTCGATTAAGAAATTTCTAATTTAGGTGAAATTGTAATATATTTCCTTGCTGTTGGATTGCTTGTTACCACGATAACTAAACTTTGGTGAATCTGATTGAATTCAAAGTCCTACTTATCAATTCTCAAAGAAAATAAAATCACACCTTGGGGAGGCTGTGCTATTACTGCACAGTCCTCAGAAGTTATTATCATGCATAAGGTAAATGTCTTCAAAAGACAGTATGTAAGAATTCTCCCATCTAGTCTAGTTGGTTCAAAGCTTAATTGAGCCTCAAGAAATTTGTGTTTGGATTATTTGGGTGAACATAAATGGTGCAACTTACAAATATTGCAACATACTGTAAGTTTTATTATCATCAATTTTAATCAGTGTATCCAATTTCATATGTTTCATAAGACAAAAGATCCTTAACTAGAAAATAGAAAAATTTTATTTGCATATGTCTAAAAACCTTTGTTTGTCTCATGATTTGTGTGGTCAGGGTATAGTAGCAGGTATCAATGCAGCACTGAAAGCAACCAAGAGACCGGAATTCACAGTTCGTCGGACAGAAGGATACATCGGTGTACTTATTGATGACCTCACAACTCAGGGAACCAATGAACCATATCGTATGTTCACCAGCAGGTCAGAGTTTAGGATGACGTTGCGTCCGGACAATGCTGATTTGAGGCTGACATTAAAAGGTATTCTTATTTCATATAACATCACATATGGTATGTTAATGTTTAAAGTTTGTTAAAAGAAATAAGCACAAGGACTATGTTATACTCAGTACCAAGTTTCGTTGTGACGATTTTCTTTAAAGTGTTTTGCTATAACATGAATTTTACATTGAGAGCGGTTTGATGGAATGGAGAGCAGCTTAGCTCAGTCGGCTAATCTGGTAGTAGCCACTGTGTGTGCGCTGAACCGTGGAGATCTCCAGGTCGCTGGTTCAAATCCCATCGCTGCCTCTCCTTGTGTTTCAGCTGGAGGGCTGAAATACAAGTTACAATAGCGCACCGTCTTTCGGATGAGGCATTAAAGCCGTTGGTCCCGTGTGCATTTATGGCCCATGTGCACGTTAAAGAACGCAGTGCACTCTTCGGAAAAGAGTAGGGGATTGTCTCCCGGTGTACTGCCCAATCACCACCAGAAGGACCCCACTGGAAATGTCTTCTTCTAGACTTTCATGGGCTATCCTTGGTGTTTACACCGAATAAATCCAATCCAATCCGAGGTACAAACATTCCCAGGACTCCTCACACCCATTACACGCAGTTGTTAAATCCATTTTTCATCAACTCCAGTTCTTTGCTTTACTGCTTCTTAAGAAATTATACTCAAATCATCTAACATAAAATGCATATTTTTTTCAATAGTTTAAATGTATTTTTCCTTGTTTTTTTTATATGTTGCAGCCTATCACACAGGTTGTATCAGTGATGAGCGGCAACAGAAAACGCTGAGAAATGAGAGAGAACTTAACAGAAGCTTAGATTTATTACGCTCTGTTTCTATGTCAAGGAACCAATGGAAGAAGCTGTTACAGGTGGAGGGTATACAGGTTCCATTCTCGGAACATGGGCCTACAAGGATGAGGTAGATTGTGATTGATAAAGTCATCAAAAATTGATGTTGTATTGTTAGACAATTAGTTTACTGCAGGTAACTTTGATGACATTTGATGATGAAACCAATAATAACAATGATGATGGAAATGATGATTTCATTGATGATTTTGATTTGATTTTTAATATTAATATTAATGCTTAGTAGTCTTAAATAATGCATTATAAAAAAATGCTCCAACACACTTAAAGCCCCATTCCTGGCAAAATTTCACAAAAAAAAAAAAAAATTTCAGATAAAAATGCATACAGTATTTCATTACTCTAATTATAAACCATGAAAAAATATTGGCATAAATTTTAGTTTTACGCTAAAGGAGAAAAAAAATGAGAAGTAGAGACTATTTCTCATGGGAGAATACCATTTTCTTGACGACTTCTTTGTTACTAGGCAAATTCAGAGGTTGTAGATTGCATTTGCAGGAGTGCTCTCACCAGCTGCTTTTTGTGTATACTGTATCAGTTGAGCGTCTGAGGTAGGTAAGGTATTGTTTCGCGAACCCGCCGCATTCTTCATTTTTTATCTCGTCCACCAGTGTCATGAACTCTAATGATAAGATATTTTAATTCATCCCACAATTAATTAAATAAAAGCATTAATTAATCTGATTTACTGAACTGTTTACATCACTGATACGATCGTGAGCAATAAGTGAAGTGTGCCCTCTTTAGTGAGATTACTTTTTGTACCGCACATCTCACACTGCGGTCGATCAAGTCGGCCTGAGATAGGTTTGTTTAATTGTCCAAAATCTCAGTCAGAATCATTTCTTAACAAGTTTGAAATAATTCCAATAAAATATATGATGAAACCAATAACAATGATGATGGAAATGATGATTTCATTGATGATTTTGATTTGATTTTTAATATTAATATTAATGCTTAGTAGTCTTAAATAATGCATTATAAAAAATGCTCCAAAACGCTTAAAGCCCCATTCCTGGGAAAATGTCATGTTGGCCGTTTTTTATGTCTGATAATAGAACCCAAATGGAGGTAAGGGTAGGCCTAGCCTAGCAGCAATGTTGCAGGCTGACGTTTCCGGTGCCTGCTATATTTCTTCTCAAACCTATCACAAAATCAAACATAAAAAAATTAATCTGCATTTATTTTTGTGTGGAACACCAAAAAAAAAATCAAATTTGAGTCTTATTTTGCATTTGTTTCATATTTAAGAAGGTCAGTTAAACTAGCAATTTGGTATTATATTTATAAATCTTACTAATATACAGTATATGAAAATTAGATTTTTCTTTAAAAATGAAGTTTTGCCAGGAATGGGGCTTTAAATTAGAAAAAAAAAAAGAAGAAAAAAAAAATCCTTATAAAAACTACAAAAAAACTGCAAAATGTGAACCAGTTATTCATAATGATATATCTGTGTTACATTATAAAAAATAGATAAGATATATCTATTGAAATTGTTAGTACTGTAATTGCTTTCATTTTGTTGATTTATTTAGTGCAATAGAAGTTCTGCAGTATGAGAATGTAACTGTAGAAACTTTAGTGAGAACTCTTCCAGAAGATCTATCGCAACTACCGCTTCAAAAGCATCTGACTCAAAGGCTCAAGATAGCTGGTAAGGAATCAAATTGTATGTACACTACACAACAGGGCCTTTCCAAGTACAACAAGATGTAGAATAATTATGGTCAGCAGACCTGGAGCTTTAGTTTAGTAATGTGCACCAAGTATTTAAGTCTTCATATTATGAATAGTTTAACAATAACATTGATTTGATTGGATTTACTGTATTTGGTGTTAAATGCATCAAGGAAATCTGAGGAAAGAAAAAAACTCATTTCTAGTGGGGTTTTTTCTGGTGGTGTATTGGGCAGTACACTGGGAGACAATCTTCTCTTTTTCAAAAAGTGAACTGTACTGTTTCTTAATATGCACATGAGCCATATGTGAGGTCTCACCACGAAATGAGACGCATTGTTGGTGAAATCATATTAAAAGAGAACTAGCAAAATGATTTTTTGTTCTAGAGGGGAATTGTGATATGCCATTTATAATATAATCAACCTTAAAATTGCTTTTTGGCAATTTCTTATGGAGTTATAGGTCATTATATACGATTTAATCGTGACGTCACTGGCGAAAAAGTAACAAAAGATCGTGTAAATAAAACCGCGTAGGGTATCCGCCGCGTACAATCTTTGCGTGTGTGTATGCTGTAACCATAGCTGTAACTCTTCTGTTGACAACCGCTGATGCAGTTATAGGCCTATGCAAGTTACAACAACCATGGTTACAGCATGCAAAAATCGTACGCAGCAAATACCGTACGCAGCGCTATTTACACGATTTTTTTATTACTTTTTCGCCAGTGACGTCACAGTAAAATCGTATATAGTGGCCTGTAACTTCATAAACAATTGCCAAAAAACGATTTTAATGTTGATTCTATTATTAATGGCATATCAAAAATCTCCTCTAGAACAAAAAATCATTTTGCTAGTTCTCTTTTAAGATATTCCCCAAAACAGGCCAAAATCAATATTTTTACAAAATTTTGATTTTAATGTTTTTGAATAACTTGATACTTATATTTTATGATTGTATACTTTGTAAGTGCATTTTCTTGCCAAAACAGTGTTCTCTGCACATATTCTGTAATTCTAGTCATATTATTTGTACAGGTTAGTTTATCTTTGAGGTCGATTTTCTCAAAACGTGGTTCTTATACACCTAAATTCTCACAACACCTACATTCATCACATTCTTTAAATGCTCACATCTCTGGATTTACTTATAGTAGGGAAGCCATTCAAAGACCAAATGAAAGCTTATAATGAGATCTACCTAAATATAACTTCTAACCATGAGACTCATTTTGTGGTGAGACCTCACATATTTCACACATGCCCAACTGCTTAAATATATTTTTTAAAAGGTGGTGTACTATTGAAACTTCAGCACTCCAACAGAAACACAAGGAGAGCGGTGGATGGAATAAAATTGGGGATCAAGGCATTTATTGCTCCAAGGTTCAATGCATACACAGTTGCTACCAGCAGTAAGCTGCTTCAGTTTGTTATCTGGGCTGCAACTTGTAATAAGTACTTATTGAAAGCAGTTGAACTCAGCATATGATACATTTTTATCTTAATTCAAGGTATGGTAAATTTCCAATAATATATATAATTTTTTTTCTATATTAGGAATTTATGAGAATCTTTTACACCAGCAGCAGTTGGAAATTGAAGAGGTGCAAAAAGACGAGCAGCTTGAGTTACCTAATGATATTGATTATTCAAGGTGATAAAATAATAAATCTATACACTTTTTTATTTTTTAAATTGTATTTTTACTGCTGTTGTACTGGAATTAGTTTATGTATTGTACACCGTATTGTAAAAAGTGAATCAATTAAAAGAATTTGTGTAATTTACATAATATTATGAGTAGATAGTAATATGCAGTCCTCACTGGCTATACTTTTTATATAGTCACTGACTTCTAAAGAGTTCTGTTTGAGAACAAAGTTGGTAGGCAGGCATATGTGGCTGTCAGCTGTGGTATTTTTCTGTTGTGCCAATAACAGATTAAATGTGTAGTATAAATTGTGTTTGTTTTATGGTTCTTGAGCAGCAACAATTCCACAGGTGACTTTCTCTCCATGTGTTATTTTAGGTGCTTCTTTATAGTAAAAATCAATTTGGTTCTTCTTGCAATCGAGCAGGAACATGGTATCCCTTTGGATTTTCGCTTGTTGTTTACTAACATTGATCCCACTTCATTTGGGTAAATGCAATGCCACACATACAGTTATAATAAATAGATATGAGTAGTTATGCTTGTTTGCAGTTTAATTATAAGTAGAAATAGGCAGTCGGTATTTTCAGAATATTATATTCTATCCAGTGCTGGTTTCCATGAGAGATTTCCACTTCACCCCCACCTCACAGACACATCATCATGCATGTTGAGATTGGTACGTAAATACAAAAAGTAGGCCTACAGTAATTTTAAGAAAGGTCACACAATAATATTATGCAATTGAAAACAGAGATTGTTGTTAACAATGGGAGAAGCATCTGGGAGTGGCTAATAGCAAGAAACTTGTGAATCATTTTCTGTTATAGTGGACAAGGCACTAATTTGACAGTAATATGTACTTGCATAAAAGTTTGCGTAGGTCTTCATTTATCTCAACAGAGACGCTTTCAATTCTGTAGGTCTACAGAAACGGAACACAGAGTGTTTAGAGTATAGCAGGAACTGCTATGTTGTCACGTAATCTCTGGAAGAATCATATAATTGTTGGCTCATGTTACACACATTTTTGTAAATTTGCATTTGTTTTTAAATTTTTGAATACTGCGCCATAATCACGAGAATTTGTCAGAAGATTGTAAACATTTGTCCATAAAATCGTTAAAATTAGAAAAAGATCCTTGTAATCAATTTCTAAAACATTATAAATATAAACGTACCCACATCTATCGGCTTATACAGTAGTATGATTTTGGAAAATAACCACCTTTTTTATAAGGGCATTTCAGTTGACAAATAAAGTGCCACTAATCGTTTTTCCAAATTTGGCAGTTCTACAGGAGTTTGTAGACAGATGTATTTGTAGATATGTATGATTTGTATGATGCATAGATTCAAATGTGGATTGATTTTATTTATCTTTATACAATACTGCAAGTTATATTTTAAAGTCAACAATTATAGTGCGATGCAAATCAACAATGGTTAGGTTAAATAACTACAAGTCTCCCTCAAATTTATGACCACTTTTTGGACCAGGGTTTTGGAGGTATTTAGTAGCTATGGTGTCTAATTAGAATCCCTCTAATTAATAACCGGCACTAAATGTGTTCTTAATTATCACTACTTACGTGGAAATTAAGAAATGATATAGTAAATGTAGGATCGTTTTATTCCAGGTGCTGTAGAATGGATTAACAGTTACTGTATGCTGTTATTGATTCTTAATAAACAATTTCTAGGTATTCACACATCAAGCCCTGCTCTCGTTCTAATACATAAATTGCCATCACAATATTATTAACACCATTGCCCTACTAACACTATCAGTATTGGCCTATTAAAAGAGCACACACAATCTAATATGTTGTGTATTATTTTGATGTGTGTATTCATATCATCATTATTTAAAAAAAAAAAAACTGCATTAAAGTCACTATATATTGTAATGTATTCTTTATTTGAAGGGAACATTATTAGTTTCGTTGGGTTTTCCAAAACCATATGATACATTTAAGTTTGAATTTCCTATTAATAGTCTTATTTAAAGGGGAACATTTTCAGTTTTCTTCCAAAAATATTCATGGGCGTCAAAGGGCCTGTTTCTATTGATGAGAAAGAACTGTTCTTTTTGGCAGTAGAGAGACGGCCCACAAAAAGAACTGTTCTTTTTGCCGTCTCAAAGAACAGTTCTTTAGTACAGAATCAATACCATGCAAAGAACGCCTAAGAACCGTCCTTCGTTGGGTAGCTGTTAGCTGCAACATAAATAGCGGCCAGGTGTATGTCTAGACTTGTTGAAAAAGGCGAAATTGAGAATTAAATTTTACCAGACTTTGTAAAATACTTCTCATGTCAATAATTTAGGCCTTTTACATGATTTTACCACTGGACATATGCTTATTAAGTTCTTCATTAATTATCAGAAATGTCGGTGTTCCACCAGCCCATTGATAGACTTACTTTATTCATTATTAGGAGGAATCAGTAAAACAAATGTTAAACTTCTATTCTCAACACAACAAAATATTCTCTTCTGATAAGTTTAGTTAGAACAAAAGTTAACCTTTGTTTTATTTGAATACAGATATGAGCTTTCATTTGGATAAGAGAAATCATCATTGTTTGTTTGTCTTGGTAGTCGGGCGAAATATTGTTGTTTAGAACTTTTATTTTTAAAGTCATTTGTCATTAAATCGCATTCTGGGTAATTTTCACGTTTTATTCAGCTTGGTATCAAATGCGTAACCGTTTTATGAGGATCCAATAATCAACCAATGATAAGAGAACTGTTTCTATCTTGATTTTTAGTATAAATTGAGAAATAATAAATTAGATGGCTTAGAATGGATGTACAGTTACTGCATGCTGTTATTTATTCTTAAAAAAAGATTTCTTTGAAATCCAGACATCAGTTCCTGTACTTGTTTTAAGCAACTTTTCATTAAAGTATTACTAACACCACCACTAACATTATTGTTATAAATATACACAAAACACTATCTTATTATGATATGCATTGGCTATTATTTTTATGTATTAGGCCCTATAACAACATTGGTTAAAGAAGAAATAGCATTAACGTCACTATTTATTTTATATTGGTTTTTCTTTTGAGGGAAAACTTTCATTTTTGTCCCGCAAAACCATGGTCTTTGATCTCTATATAGAGGGAGCCTTTAGTTGGATGGAACAGCTAATGCTAAAAGATTCAAACGGGACCACAGAAAAGTGGTCTTTAATTGGAGAGGGTCTTTAATTGGAGGGAGACCTGTAATTCCAAATTTGCCATTGATACATTATAATCAAAATGCTTCACATGTGTATTCATGCTTTTTGGTCCCTAGACCCCTTTGCAATCCTCTAATCCCAGACAATCAATTGTAACTTGTGCTTGGAACGTAGTAACAGGATAACAATCTTTCTCCCACAACATCAGAACAGAGGGTCGCCGCCTTCCTCAGTACCTCATTGATCGCTTCACTCTATGGAAATATTAATAGAAGAATAAATATTAAAACCACTCAAATTAGTCTATATCTAATGAAAACCGCTGTTTTTTCCTTGGCTTTTCTCCTCGCACACTAACACTTTCCAGCTTGGACTCAACTTCACTCATGCTTTACTTTAGTCTGCATTAGTATTCCTGTTACTCAAACCATGCCACCGCCTATGTCAGCATCATTACCACCATCCGTCATCGTCGTCATTACAGTTATCATTATCATCGTCGTCATCCACTTACCATCATTACCAATATTATCATAATTATTTCACATTTATTCTGGTCATCTAGGTAAACAAACTTTTTCCGCTGTATGACCTGATCTGGGCCCCTTTACGTCCCTCATTCTAACATTGAGCCACCACCCCCAAATTGATTCCCCTAATACTTATTGCTCTATTAAGCAGGGGCGGATCCAGAAATGTCCAAAAGGGGGGGGCCGGAAAGGGGGGCCGAAAGTTGGGCCGATTGAGACAACACTGTCGTAGGGGGTCCCGGGCATGCCCCCGCGAAATTTTTGTGTTCTAGACGCCCGAACATAACATTTGAGGCATTCTGGGCTATCATTTTTTTCTTTTTCTCTCTTTTTTTCTTTTTTTTTCTTTTTTTTACCTCCCAAAAGGGGGGGCCGGGGCCGGGCCGGCCCCCCCTAAATCCGCCCCTGTTAAGTATACCTTTATCAAGTGATAGGTCTGTCCATGGAGGAATACCTACATGGACTATATTGATCGTTTAAATATGTACCATCCTTATCCTCTAGCTGTTAGGAGAAAAGTTTCCAGAGCCTTGTTTGCTTCACGTTATTTCAGGGAAGTTGGGTGGGGGGATTTCCTGTTGTTGGCATGATAATTCCTTTTACCATTAACACTAGGGAAGTGAAGTTGAATAGTTTGGTGGTTAAGATGTTTGTCTTCGAATCCCAGGGTCATGGGTTCAGTTCTTGTCATGATTTTTTCTCACGACCAAAACTACTTTGTGTAAAGTATCGTGTGTGTGTGTGTGTGTTTGTCTTGTGTAAGGGATTGTCACCTACAAGTAGGACAGTGATATATTCGCTATTGACAATCCTTGGCACATGTGTGTGCCTAAAAAAATAATAAATAAATAACAATAAATAAAACTAAATTATATAGAATTCTATTCCTGACAGCCTGAGAAGTTTATATGATGACAAAAAAAATGTTCAGAAAATTAATAACAGCTCATTTTAATGATTTTAACGATATGAGATAATTCCTTTTTACTATTTTATTATTCAGATAGGTCATAAATAATGCCACCAAAATTTCGTATAAGTAAAAACACCACAAGGCACATTCTAAAGCAAGTAATAGACTTTAATCGTGATCGCGGACTCATTGAGCCCGATCGTATAGCAAACATGTTTCGAGAAAACAATTCTCATCATCAGTGCGAAAGATGACAAATTTTGCCAAAGCTTATATTATGGCTTTATACACATGTATGTAAATTAGCAAATTAGAAAAGCGACTAATGAAGCAAACCACAAAACATAGACACCACCCGTCACTGTGGATTGTTATGTAAATTAGTACACAAGAATCAAACAGCGAGCGTGATATTCAAGTTGTAAATTTGCTTATTAAGGGATGGATTGTAATATGGAAAATATTTTATTATTATTATTATTAGTGTTATTATTATTATTATTTTTAATATTATAATGCTTTCTGTGTTTTCCGTTCTAATCTTACATATTGTACATTGACTATTTTATGTAAAGAGGTTCCCACTTTTTGTTGGGCCCTTGGCTAATGGTTCCCTCTTGACTTTATTGTCGAATTGGGAATAAATAAATAAATAAATGGTCTGTCTGTTATTGATAAATCAAAAATTGACTTAATAATAAGTACTATACCAACAGTCTGTTATTCGCAACTCTAACGTATTCACGTGTAGGCCTAATTCAAATGTCAATAGGTTTATTGAATAATGCATAGCATATTGTATCTTGTGTATTCATAACATTTAAGTAGGACTACAACTTTTTTATATGCATTTCAAAATACCCGTCAACTCGTATAAATATATATAGTCATTGTTATTCATATTGTATTTATATAATGTGTTCGTGTTTCTTGCAATTTATTTGTTCATGGAGGAATAAGCATCTCCTTTAATCTAGTTATGACATTTGTAAGAGTCATAACTAGAAAAAAAAAAAAAAAAAAAAAAAAAAAAAAAAAAAAAAACTGGACCCTAAGATGGTACTATTGATTACTTTAGTAAAAAAATAATACATTATACAATAATTAATAATCATGTTAAAGTGACTATTTATTGTCGGGGACCAAAACAGAAGGCTAATAATTATCTTAACTACATAGCTTGGTCTCCAAATTTGTACTCGCAGATCCCCGACTGTACTCCCGAACCCGGGTCCATAGGGACGTAGTTACGCCACTGATTATTTGCATTCAAGCAAACTGCTCCGTTTCATTGGCTTGTTTTCTTTGCCTTGTTAGAATTGTGTTGTCCCGAGAAATGAAAGAAAAGTTAGCACAAGTTCGGCCGTCGACAGTAAGTTTATCTTGGTTTTTTTTTTCATGAACACGTGTCTTACTGTATTTTCAATCAAATATCAATCAATCATGAATTGGCGAATCGTTGCACTACTGTATATAAAACAATTCCTCACGTACACCGTAGACATCATTTTTCCTGATTGGATGAAATAATTATAATTTTCTTAATAGAATTCATTATTTGTGGTACATTTTGTGTTTATTCTATCCCCAACGTGAAATTTATTTCAAATAAACGTAGGCATTGGCCGAAAATTTGTACACGAATAGAACATTGAACTGATTTAAACTTATTGACAACTATTATCATGTTTCCATCTATTGTAGACAATATACACATTTAACTAATTTTAATATCGTAGCTTTATTTTCAGATAACATCAACATAACAAATGTATAATCATTAGGATAAAAATGAAAATAAATTGGAATTATACGTTTTCTTAAATCTTTTTTTTTTTTTTTTTTGTAAAATCATCAACATAAAAGATAATCTGTACATGATATACAACTTTTTGGACATAATATTTCTTCTTGATAAGTCATATTTTCTATATTCAATTTCTGATTTTCAGTATCAGATAAACGTACGGTATAAGCAATTTGAGAAAGTAATGCATTTTTCTCTTCGTTACTATAGATTGGTGCTGCTGGACGAATTCAAGGCATGACCCCTGCAGCTCTTCTTCACCTTCTTTATTATGTTCGAAAGAGGGAGAAGCAACATCAGACGATGGCCAGATGAAATGCAGGCCTGTTAAGGTGAAATTAATTTCACCATTAATATATAAACGCTCCGATTCCACTTAGATTTTGCCACATAACCGAAACTAGTGACTACTTGAAAGTAAAGATTGTGTTGTCGCAAAAGAAAGAAAAATGTAAAAAAAAAAGCTATTGTGAGAAAAGTTTATTGATGGTCCGTTTGAAAATTTGGATATTCCTGATGATGACATGATTAATGTCGAAACATTGAATACCGACACGTGATGGCACTTGGAGTATGTATTATACTATCTTATCTGGATATCTGGTGTAGGTGAACAACATGAAAAAGGAATCCAAAGTTAAAGGAATATATGATTGCATGTGCAAAGAAGCAATGTGAAGACGATGTATAGAAGTCGAACAAGGAGAAACATACTGTATCTGATAGTAATTGTTATTGTCGTGATGGAGTAGACATTAACTGGATTTGCGTCAGGAGAACCACGTATAGGTGTAATTTTGCCCTACCTGACATAGAAATGTACTGAATACTCAGTACGTGTGCAAGTTGTCCTCGGGTGGGTTGTTGTTCACTATCAATGGAGATCGTGGGTTCGAATCCCACCCGAGAACAACATGCGATTTTTTCGCAATTGTTTTCACACGTACTGAGTATTCAGTAGCCTACATTTCCACGTCAGGTAGGGCAAAATTACACCTATACATACTGTTGATCAAACGAGGTTTAAAGGGAATAAAAGAGGCGCGTGTTTGATAAAAGCAAGTAAATTCCATCACAAGATCCGTCTGCATAAAGCTTGGTTTCCATACAATCGCTACGACGCACTCATCAATGATGCTGATTGATTGGTCGGTCGAATCGGGAAGTCTTCGCGATTGTGCAGTACAACGATTGCACTGAACACACTCTGTAGCGATTTTAAAGAAACCAGGCTTAACGTGGAGTACCGTAAATGCTCGAATAAGCGCCGCTCTCGAATAAGCGCCGCACGAAACCTGATTCCTTTCGCTAAGCGCCGCGGCGCTTAATTGAGAGTATGATATTGCCCTGCGTGTAATGAACACTTTGAGAAACAGGGTTTTAAATACAAGGTATACAGTGTTAAAATGAATAAACACAATTAAGACACCAGCATTTCTTTATAAACGTTTATTTATGATGACGTAGGACCTACAGTACGATAAACCTACTGAACTACTCGGCGCTTATTCGAGCATTTACGGGAAGGCTACATACCATATTAGTTCAAATTAAATTCTACTAGGCCTATTTACAGTATTTGAAGGTCTACGATGTAGATTAATTTACATTAAAAATTACCAGCTGACAGTATTTTCCTGTAAAATGGGTAAGTTTTTTTATATTATAGATAGAATACTCACGTTATGTAATACGATTACCGTAAAATGAAATTGATGTACGGTAAGATATTATACACTGTAATCGTGGCCTATACCACAATACTTGACTATTAATGCTACCATGGAGATATTCTCTATGGTATTATACTACTGTATAGGTGTATAAACAAAACGAAGTACATTTTTCTAGCGTATTAAATTACGAAGTGATTATACTCCATAATCTTAGGTATAATTATATTTAAACAGTTCCTAACCTTTCTAATAATAATAAACAGCTATTATTTTTTTTTCTTTTGAGTAAAGAAACAAAATGTTAGTGGGCCTTCTACCAATGTTATATCATGACGTTTTTGAACTACTGATGCATGAGACGATTGTGTAGTTGACAAAGTCCATGTTTGGATGTGTCGATCGGTGACAAAAACATTTGTCGTGTATCTACCAACGATATGCTTTTACTCGGATATTATTAATGTTCAGTAAATAATAATAACAAAACAAAATATTTACTTTTTTAAAGCCATTACTGTATTTTAATTTAAGCTTTTCAATAATTTGAACGAACTGTGGCTCAGATATCTAATTTTGATTGATTCCTTTTTTATTTATTGGGTATATAAAAACCTCACATCAAACCCAGAGAGCAATCCTGTGAGTTTACATAGTACTAATAACAAAAATGAAAACAAAACATCGTTAACAATTATCACAAAAACTACAGATTATTACTGACTTTTACATAGTGAACATCATTTAATATTATTTACAATTCAGATTATCATTAATCATTATTTACAATTCAGAAATCAGGTTTTTAATACAATTAGGTGTCAAAGTTTTACAACCTGTTCAGCCTTAAACAGCATAGGGCCTACTTAGTTTAAATCGACTTAAACGTAGATTTATGCGTAGACCGGTAAAATTTAAATGTTTTAAATCTTACCTAACCAAAATTAATAACAGAAGTGAACGCACTCAGTGGCGTATCTAGAAATCTTGAAATGGGGGGTGCTGATTGGGAGTGTCGCGAAAGTGAAGTGGGGTGGGGGGCGATGTTTAGTTAAAGGGTGTTAATTCGCAAATAAGCAAAATAAGGTGATGATTTTGTATGATTTTTAACTACTTGCAAATAATTTTTGAGGGGCGTGAGTCCCCCCTCCCCGCGCACCCCTAGATACGCCACTGAACGCAATGCACTCGCTGTTGCGTCCCGGGGAACGTTTTTTTTTTCCTGCAGTACACATAAGCAATATCGATATATTTATTATGGGTTATTCTCCTATCTTTACCCCACCTTTATCCAATCAAACCATAGGAAGCCTGTTTGTATTCATTGCACTCAGTCCATCTACTCAATTCTGTGGACTGATCATCCTTCTCCCTCACCCAAGGAGGGTCCATACTTGACTCGCGATTTCATCAGAGCTTATACTATTTGATTGATCAGTGCGATCATGTTACCGAGGGTAACACTATAAAAAAAAAGGCTCTTGTTACTCAGTCGTTTGGCTTTACCATCTTTATCATGTTTTACATATAATATCGTCAAATTGTTAATAGTAGGCCCAATTATTCTAATACAGAGTATATTGATTGTTTTTGTTACCATGTATCAAGCACTGAGTTATCGGAAAACCCAAATATTACAATTTGTTATAATCCTTTCTTATGCAAATGAAAATTATTGTATGGCCTATTTATTCACAATTATAATTCATTCCAATCGGTTACACGTTGGCCCTTATTTATTGTTGATGCTGGTTAATGCCCACAAGGTATGTAATTATATTGAATGTACATACGTATTATAGTCATTGTTTTGTTGCCATTGGTTTCGTCGTGACGTTGGAGCATATAAATATAAAAGAAGATTGGTACTGTATATAACGTAATAGTCATTACATTAAGGTGCTCCACTGGAAGAATAACAGCAAGGGGTTGACCTATAAAAATTCCGGAAGCATCTTTAACTAAACCATAGAAACTAATCCTTTTAATTAATGGGTTCAACAAATTAACAAAAACAATGAAAATAGACGAGAACCCCAAATGAGCCAAACTTGTAAAAATGACCACAAGTGCAAACTAGTGGAACAAATGGGGCCAAGAGAACTATAATTGAAAAGGAAATTGAAAGGTAAATTTATTCTAATGATTTAAAGCAACAAAACCAATTAACTATCTTAATGGACAACATTCATCATGTTCATCAGTTTTATTACTATCAGTGTGACCACTGCTTGGGTATTTACCCAAGATCTTGGGTATTTTGACTTGGTCTTGGGTTCTTAGGTATTCCGTTCAAATCCTTGGGTATTTTATTTTTACTAGGACAATTAAATATTTTTGTCATAGAGGAAGAATTAAGAAGTACCGTAACAAAGTATATTTCAGTCCATTCAAGTAAGCAAAACTCAACAAAGTGCACATACCATTGTTAATTGACTGTTAATTGCTTTAAACATGTGTTCAAAATTGTTTATTTGTGATTTGCATTGCCATTGATCTTACCTAATTAATGCATTACATAATAAAACTTGATCACTGATCTACTGATAACACTGGCCCACTGAGGGCGTATTTTTCTATCCGTATTATCACCTCATGAATATTAATTTTAATAATTAACACAAACAATTACAATAAAAAATGGTTTATAAATTGAACTAAAAGTTAAATTATGCATGCGAAAAACACGTTTTCAAATGTTAATGCATTTTCAGGAATCTTGGGTAATTTTGGGCAATTTTTGCTGAATCTTGGGTAAATTCGACCCAGTCATTGGGTATATCAAAAATTGTGA